ATCTTGGAGATCCACCGGCACCTTCGTCGACGCAGTTCCCCCGCCTGGGGTGAACGTAGTCGATGGCCGTTGGCTCTTCAAGGTGAAGCGCCCTCCTGGAGAGCCGCCTGTGTTCAAGGCGCGCTACGTGGCTAGAGGCTTCAGTCAGCGTGAGGGGGTGGACTTCTTCCAGACCTTTGCTCCGACCCCGAAGATGACTACTCTTCGGGTTGTGTTACACCTAGCTGCTCAGCGTGACTACGAGCTTCACTCTCTCGACTTCTCCACTGCCTTCCTTCACGGCAGCCTGCACGAGCAGGTCTACTTGTGTCGCCCTCCGGGCTTTACTGGCACCTTCCCTCCTGGGACCCAGTGGCTCCTGCGGCGCCCCGTCTACGGTCTGCGCTAGGCTCCTCGTGAGTGGCACGACATGCTGCGTGCTACCCTTGCTGACCTGCAGTTCTTTCCGTCTTCCGCAGACCCCTCACTCTTCGTTCGTGCTGGCCAGACTCCGTTCTACATCCTTGTTTACGTCGACGACCTGGTCTTTGCCACAGCAGACAGGGACGCACTGGCCTCAGTGAAGGCAGAGCTGCTGAAGAGACACACGTGCAATGACCTTGGAGAACTGCGCCGTTACCTTGGCTTGCAGATCTCCAGGAACAGAGCAGCGTGCACCATCACCTTGACTCAGTCACACTTGGTGCGCCAGGTCCTTCAGAGGTTCGGCCTTCATTTCTCCTCTGCACAGCCCACCCCTCTGCCTGTAGACCACAGACTCTCTGCTCCAGTTTCTGAGGAGTCGGTAGAGCCCAGCGGCCCCTACGCAGAGCTGGTGGGTTGCCTCATGTACCTGATGACTTGCACTCGCCCAGATCTCGCATGCCCTCTCAGCATCCTGGCTCGCTTTGTGGCCACAGGCAGACACCGACCGCAGCACTGGTCTGCCGCTAAGAGGGTTTTGCGTTATCTTGCTAGTACATCAGGCATGGGGTTAGTGCTAGGAGGACGTGGGCCAGTGGTCCTTACTGGACACACAGACGCTTCTTGGGCAGACGACGCCGAGACACTCCCGTCTACCCAGGGCTACTGCTTCAGCCTTGGCTCAGGTGCCGTCTTGTGGAGAGCTACCCGCTCCTCGTCTGTTGCCCAGTCCAGCTGTGAGGCCGAGATCTACGCTGGTGCCATGGCGGCACAGGAGCTCCGCTGGCTGACCTTCTTGCTCACTGACTTAGGTGAGCGGCCTAGCTCTGCCGCGGTCCTGTTCGCTGACAACAGGGCCATGATCCTCTTGTGTCAGGAGCCTCGACTCGAGGGCAGAGCGAAGCATATTCAGCTGCGGTACTTCCTCTTGCGCGAGCTACAGCAGCGACGCCAGGCTCGCGTAGTACACTTGGCCTCTGGTGCCAACACAGCTGATATCTTTACGAAGGCGCTTGCGCCTAAAGATCATCAGCGGCACTGTGTACAGCTTGGTCTAGTTCCTGTAGCCTCTCACTTTCTAGGGCCTTGACTTTGTCCTGTCCTTTACATGTGTTGGGCTGAGAAAAGCCCTTAGGATCTTTCCAGAGACTAAGTCCCAGTTGTAAAAGACTTGAGTAGTGCAGCGGAAGTTGAGGCAGTTGAACCCTTGTACTAGTATATGGGAACAAGTGATTGATTAAAGAGACAAGCATACAGCAATATATAGAAAAATAGGAAAGTAAAGCAGTTGTAGAATACAGTTGCAAGAGCGGTTATCGAGTCGCACAGCGACTCGATTGTCGCTTCGGTTACCATCCGTGCTGTTGTAACGGTCAGTCGCAACCTCCAGTTGCGACCCTTCAAGTTCCTCCGTGTTCTTTGTCCATCCCCTTGTGTAACCTCCGTTGACTCGCGTACCCGTTGTGATCTTCCTCGAGTGTAGTGTTACACTTCAGAAATGCTTAAGTCCTTTGAGATATTTCCAACACTCCCCTTCGTTTCTGGAGTGCTGACGTGTTCAGATCCGATGACGCTTGTCTGCCCAGTCAGCAGCATGCAGTAATCGAACTTCGCCTTCGCCAGTTTCTTCGTCAGGTAGTCTGCGGCCATTTCTGTTGTAGGGCAGTAACTGAGTTGAAGTCTCCCCTTCGCGATTTCATCTTTGACGAAAAAGTACCGCAGGGCAATGTGTTTGGTTCGGTTGGCGAAGCCGTCCTTGTTCGCGATTTTGATCGCAGATTGGTTGTCGCAGAGGAGTGAGAAGACGGGCAGGGTCGCGATCTTCGCTTCCTCGAGCAACTCTCGTAGGTAGAGTCCTTCCTTGGTCGCAGTACAAGGGCGATATATTCTGCTTCAGCCGAAGATAGTGCGATTAGTTCCTGCTTGCTCGACTGCCAGGAGATAGTCCCGATAGGTTCTAGTCGGTAGATGTAGCCCATTCTCGATCGTCGATTTTCCCTGTCTCCCGCGTGGTCGGCGTCGACGTATCCGAGTAGTCGTACGGACGGTGTTGTTACTTTGCTGTAGGTAAGCCCGGTCGTCGGCGTGGAGACGAAGTAGAGTAGTGCCCGATTGAGTTCCTCGAGATCTTCTTGTTCCGGCTGCTTCAGATGCGTCGCCAGTTGGCTCGCGCTATAAGAGAGATCGGGTCGGCAGGTTACTGCTGCGAATAGTAGGTAGCCGAGCTTCTGTTGATACTCCTGGATTTGCTTCGCGGGGAGTTTTGCGGAGGTGCTGTTGTTGTTCCCGTATCGGTAGGGAGTTGGGACCGTAGTCGGCGTTAGACCAAATTTCTTCGCGACAGTGCCTGCGTACTTTCCAGCGTGTAGGTAGAACGCCGAGTTGTCTTCGATGACATTCAGTCCCAGGTACTGGGTCACTGCGTCGGACACCGTGAGTGTCAAGTCCTTTTTCAGCTCCCCTTCGAACCAGGTGGCGATGTCGGTAGTGGAGCCGATGTAGAGCAGGTCGTCGACGTAGACGATGAGAAGGATGAAGGCTTCTTCCTTCTGTAGTCGATACATGCCTTGGTCGTGCGGTAGTTGTAGGAAGCCGATTCTGACGAGGCGGCCGTGAAGATGCTGCTGCCACAGTCGCGGAGCTTGTTTGATCCCGTAGAGGGATTTTATCAGCTCCCATACTTTTGTAGGGTCGTCAATGAATCCGTGGGGCTGCTCGACAAAGATCTCGGCGTCCACAGGTGCGTACAGGAAAGCATTTGCGACGTCGATTTGGCGCAGCGGTAGTTTCTTCGTGGCCGCGACGGCGAGTAGGATGCGCAGGGAGGTGTGACGGGAGACTGGGGCAAAAGTTTCTGTGTAGTCAGTTCCGTATCGTTGATCGAAGCCTCGTACGACCCATCGAGCTTTGAATCGTTCGATGGAGCCGTCCGCGTTGGTCTTGATGCGGTACACCCATTTTCCCGAGAGGACGTTCTTCCCGTTGATGCTTGTTGCAGGTACCAGCTTCCATGTATTTCGGTCTTGCAGAGCCTTTAGCTCCTTTTCCATCGCCTCCTTCCATTTCGCCTTATGTTCCCTCCCCAGAGCCTGCGACAAAGTCGAGGGCTCGCGCGGAGATGGCGGCGGCGGATGCTGGACGGAGACCCAGAGGCCGAGGATCTGCAGTCCCATGGGTGTGTGTCGAGGGGAATTTTCATTCCCGGAATAGGCTGCTTCGTCACCGTCTTCTGGATCAGGTAAGAAGTTGGGGCCGATGCGTTCTGAAACATTTGTGTCGACCGGGTGGGGTGTAATGTAACCTTGGTCAGCGAAGTGATAAAAGGTGTCGAGGTTGTTACTATCGAGAGGATTGTCTTCGTCGAGTGGAACAGGTACGGAACAGAAAGGGAGTGGTCCGGCAGTTTCCGAGGCTCCAGGTACGTCTTCTTCTGCTGCGTCAGCCTCGGCAGCACGGTCGGCGAAGGAACGAAGGCCCGCGAAGCCGTCGGTGGGGTCGTGTGTGTTGGCAATGTTGTCCAGGTAATGATGCAGCGTCAGTCGCTCGTAGAAGATAACATCACGTGATGCCACTATATTTTTGTCTTGTATGTCGAGGATTTTCCAAGCGTGAAAATGTTTTGCGATGCCGAGGTGTAGTCCCCACCGAGCTCGTTGAGTGAAGCGTCCTGCTCGGGCTGTGTGGGGTCTGTACTGTACCATGCAGCTGAAAACTCGAAGTAATTTTGTGCTGCCCCTTTTTTGTGTCCACAGCAGGTGCGGTGATGCGTTGTTGGGAAGCGATGACGAGGACAACAGGTTGTGCAGGTGGACTGCATGTGTCATCGGGTCTGGCCACAGTGTGGTGGGCAGTCTCATCCCAAGGAGCAGCTTTCGCATCGTCGTCTGCAAGGTCCGGTTCATGCGTTCTGCGACCCCCTGCTGCTGGTGAGCGTAGGGCAGAGACACCAGGCGTCTGATTCCCCTTTCCGCCAGATAGGTCATGAAGCGTTGTGACTAGTATTCCAGTGCACCGTCTGACTGGAAGCTCTTGAGCTTGGTTCCGGATTCTCGTTCGGCGATGGGTAGCCATGTCGTGAAGGCGTCGAAGGCTTGATCGCGCGTCTTGAGGTTGTAGTGCCAGACGTATCTTGTTGCTGCGTCGATAAACGTGATGACATAGTTGAAGTCGGCTTCAGCATCTTCTCGAGGCATGTTTAAAATGTCGCTGTAGACTTTTTCCATCGGTGCGTATGCAGGTGCGCTTGGGTTGTGATGAGATGGGAAAGACTGGTCGGGAAGATCGGCTTCGGGGCACGTAAAGCACCGTGCGCGTGGTCGTCGAAGTTCTTGGCCGCTCGTTGTTAGGAGAGCGTTGCGTTCTAACACTTCGGCTTGGATGGTTTGTAGTATTGTACTATTTGCAGGGTGCCCGAGTCGTTGGTGCCAGATGTCGTCGGGAGCGCGATGGCCGGGCGAGCGGTGGTATATGTCGGTGTTGGAGAAGAACGCGACGACTGTGGCGGGACTTCGACAGACTTCTCGTGTGATGGGCATAAGTTGATCTGCTTCGGTTGGCGGTCCTCGGATCACTGGTGGTGGTACTCGGCTGGGTCCTGCTGCTGCTACTGCAGGTGTTGGTTGGGAAGGGACACTTGCTGGTACTTGTCTTTCTTGTCTGATGACTGCTAATGCTCGTGTTCTCTCTGCTGCAGGTATGGTGTTGGAGTGCCAGAATTCATCAGGGTCGAAGTCGGGGTCAAGATCCGGCGGGTGTGTCCAGGCGGCGAACGACACGATTCCGTCGCTGTCGGCAGTACCGCGGTCGGGGACGAAGTCCAACACGAAGACGCCGGACTTCAGGAGAGCACGACCGATGAAGAGACCACCCTTCCCGTGGTAAAGGCAAAACTCGTTGGAGTAGGAGTCGCACTCCAGGTGAATCCCTTTTGCCATTAGCTGGCTTACGCTTAGTAAGTTGTATCCCAAGTTGTCGACGATGAGGACCTTGTTGAGTTGAAGTATAACGTTTGTCTCCATGGATTGTAACTGAACCACGCCTTGTCTGTTTGTTTTCAGGTTCTCGTTGTTGGCGACGGTGATGATGACGTCGCGGTTGAGGCGTCGCTCTCGTTGCACGAAGCGTCCGGAAGAACACATGTGTTGACCGCAACAGCTGTCCAAGAACCAGGTGTTTCGCCCGGTGGGTTCGGCGTTGGCGACCGCAGCGTATGTCGGGTTGACCTGAAGTCCTTGTGAGCGCGGCGGCGGAAGTTCTTCTTCGTCTGGTGCGTAAGTGGGTGGTGATCCGGATGCGCAGTTGTCGATGTGTACCATGCAGTTAATGATATTCGGTGTCCCTTGTGCAGATGTGGAAGAGCACCTTGGAGGGCTTTCTTGAGTGGAGGCGACGTGTGGGTCTACTGGACGATAAACACGAGGACGTGTGCAATTGACTTTGGAATGTCCGGAAGTCTGACAGTTATGGCAGAACGGCGGCACGAAGGTGAGTCCTCTGTTGTCGCGTTGATCTTGTTTGCCGCGTCGATTGTAGTTGTTGTCGTTCCTTCGTTGAGTGTAGAAAACTAACTGCTGTTGCTTCCTTGGTTGTCTTTCTTCGAACAGGTCCATCTCCTGTTGTTCGGCGTGAAGCTCGGCGCAGAGGTGCATCTCCGAGATCCTTCCGTGGGCGCGAAGAAGCGAGCGTGTGGTTCTCCATTCTGGCCCGAGCCCGGCGAGGACAAGCGTCACGAAGCTTTCCTCAGTGATTGTTCCTCCGCACCGAAGCAGGCGGTCGCGGAGGGTCTGGCAGCGACTCATATACTGCATCGCCTTTTCCCCGGTCTTCATCTGTATTGTTGTCAGTTGTTGCATGAGTCTGCTTTGTGTCACGCTGTCGTTTGCTTGATAGAGACACTTGAGATGATGCCATGCGAGTTCCGCGGAGTTTCCATAGCTCCGATATGTTCTGATGCTCTGCTGTTCTTGTGGTGACAGGTTCCGCAGGAGAACTGTGTACGCCAGCAGCGACTGATAAGTAAATATTTCTTGCTCCTTTGCAGTGCCGTTGCTTGGGAATGGCAGGGACCCGTTGAAGTATCCCAGGAGATGCGCAGCCTCCATCAGCAGCTCGAACTCAAAACTCCAGGTAAAGAAATCGTGTCCGTTGAATGGTGAGGATGTCTGCAGTTTAATCACGTGTGAAAACTGCGCCTGGAGACTTAAAATCTCGTTTGGTGTCTGTTGTGATGCAGCTTCTGTTGGTTGGGCACGGGGCGGCATGAACTCGAATGTCCCCGGTGAAGAGTGATAAGGCGCAAAGGTAGGCGCTTGGTTGTGTCGCCCGAATGATGAATTGTCGAGGCTCATCGGTGCTAATCCCATGTTTCCTCCGTTGCTCTGTGTTGAATGCGCAGGTGTCCTTGTCTGCTGCTGCTGGTCGAAGTGCGACATGAAGCTGAAGAACCTTTCCATAAGGTTCGGATCCACGCTTGAAGAGAGTGATGGGGTCACCATTTCCGGTGTTCTTCCTGTTGTTTCTTGAGCAGCGCCGGTCTCGGTTTGCAGTCCTGAAGTGTGCAATCCAGAGTTGCCGGGTTGAATGTCTTGGGCGCTGGGTGAGCCCGTAGAGATTTTCTTGCCCTTGCTGTCCATGACTTGTAATCAATGAAGTCGTTGAATTGCAGATTGTAGATGGAGCGTAGTTGCTGGGAGTTTGGTCTCTGACCAGCTCTCATACCATGTTGGGCTGAGAAAAGCCCTTAGGATCTTTCCAGAGACTAAGTCCCAGTTGTAAAAGACTTGAGTAGTGCAGCGGAAGTTGAGGCAGTTGAACCCTTGTACTAGTATATGAGAACAAGTGATTGATTAAAGAGACAAGCATACAGCAATATATAGAAAATTAGGAAAGTAAAGCAGTTGTAGAATACAGTTGCAGGAGCGGTTATCGAGTCGCACAGCGACTCGATTGTCGCTTCGGTTACCATCCGTGCTGTTGTAACGGTCAGTCGCAACCTCCAGTTGCGACCCTTCAAGTTCCTTCGTGTTCTTTGTCCATCCCCTCATGTAACCTCCATTGACTCGCGTACCCGTTGTGATCTTCCTCGAGTGTAGTGTTACACTTCATAAACACTTAAGTCCTTTGAGATATTTCCAACAATATGTGTACTCAGACTGGACTTGTGTCCTCTCCCAGTGGCTGGACTAGTAGTGCCGCCCTGGTCTTGTTCTTGCCTTGCCTGTACTCCTTCTGACTGGTCTTTTAGACCCTTGTCCCAGAGGCTGGACTAGTAGTGCCGCCCTGAGCTGCTTGTTCAGAACCTGCCCCTATGCAATCTAGGGGGTGTGTCAAACATATGTATCTCCTATGTTTGCATAGACTGTATAGGGCCACCTCAGAGGGTATATTCACCTGTATTCTCTCTCTACTCCATTATTATTCACTTCACTTTGATATACAATGCACGCACTGGTTTTATGGATGGATGGTTTGGCAGCTATCCGATCAGCCCAGCTATACAAGGAGGGAACTTATGCTGCTGGCAGTGGATGCAAGCTGCTTACTCAGAAACCTGCTAAAACACAGACATTGAGGCCGAACCTAGCTCACACAAACCTTGAATCAATACCACTCATGAATCATGATGCCTCTCTGTTTCCACCTCACTCCGCCTCCTCCCCTCTTTCTACCATTCCCCCCTCCCCACGCCCATCCCACTCCGCCCCTCTCCGATCCTACCCCACGCTGCCTCCTCAATCCTCTCCCCTCTCCCTGCGCGCCAGGGCGTCTTGGAAGGAGGGCACAGCTTCCTGGAAGCATCGCAGTACAGCCGGCGCCAGGTGCAGGTGCTGGGGGTGCGACAGGCACGCAAGCAGAGAGCTGGCATGCTGCCAAAACACCTGGGAGGGATGGTGGGAAGTGCAATACAGGGAGGGGAACAGGGAGTAAGAGACGAGCCAAAGCACAGCTGTGAGAGAAAACAGAGACACAGCACATGAAGCATGGCAAACAGCCACATACAGCTGAACCACCATGCCCTCCTTGCCTGATGGTCCCTTGCTCCAATGAACACCAGTATCCCGTTCCTTCACCTACCTGTGACGGTGCTGACGCCAGGAACCTAGCAGCAGCAAGAGGGCCACAGGACAGCACCATAGCGCGCAGCAGCGCTGCCATATCCTCCCTCCTCTGCGCCCCCATTCGGCCCTGCTCCTGCCCCTCCCTCGCCCCCAGCCATGCCTGCAGCAGCCGCACCGCCTCCCTCCGTACCCGTGACCGTGCTTTGAGCGATGCAGGTGGGAGGGCAGGGGGGGAGGGAGAGGAGGAGGAGGGGGAGAGGGAGGAGGAGAGGCGGAGCAGGTCCCATGAGAAGGCGGGGGAGAAGCGAAGGAGCTGGAGGGGGAGAGTGGGGGAGGAGGAACGAGGGGAGATATTGAGGGGGTATAGAGGTCTCAGCTGAGGCCAGTTGATCGTCGGGAAACACAGAGCAGAGGAAACAGGCAGCGGAGAGCAGAGGGCGTCAATGTGTCACGAAATGCATGAATGACAGGGACGAGGAAAGGCGGCTGAATAAGCCCAAGAAAGACGGCAGGGGGAGAAGAAAGAGAGAGGAGGGGGGGGGGGAAGAAGTGACCTTGGCGTTGAGCAGGTGCAACAGCGCAGCCCACATATGGTGCGATGCCAGCAGGCGCACAAGGGAGGACTGGGCCCGCAGGAAGGCAGGCAATGGCAGGCGCAGGTCGTCCATGCTGAGGGGAGATGGGGATGGTGGGGGGTAGAGTGGCGAGTGGGGGAATGGAACAGAATGTTTTTATGTGAAGATTCACAGAAGCAGTGGACTTTAGCTATACTTTGCAAGTCGTTAACTAATGACACCATTCGGCTGCTGCAGCAAAAGGCACTTCACTGCAAACCTCAGTAGCGAGTGTAGGGCTCCGTAACCCACCCCACACTCACCATCTGATGAGTTCAACCATAACCCCCACAATATAGCTGCTGTCCTGCGATGCAGCACCACATGCTGCAGTATTGTCTCTCTCCTTCTCACCACTGCTCCCATCCTCTCCCCGGTCTTCTCCCCCTTTCACCTCCCCTCCTCCCCCACCATCCCCCCCTCCCTCCCCACTCCCCCCTCTGCTGCTCTCTCCTGCACCCATGTGGTGATGCAAGGTGCTTCCGTGTCTCCTGGCCTGCTGCGTGCATGCTTCCAAATACCGCTCTATCTGCATGACCATGCAAGGGGGAAGGGAACGTAGCAGTGGTAGAAAAAGTATTCCAAAAGGGCGATAGAAGGAAATTGGAAGAGAGGGTCCTTTGAGCCGAGTGGACGAAACACATGGAACGAGAGAGAGACAAAGCAGAAAGCTGGGGGAGGTGTCAGGGGAAGAAAACAAATGTCATGCTATTAGAGGAAGGAAGAAGAGGTGGCTAGCAGTTGAGGCCCAATCTGTCCCACCTTCTGCCATGTGCACGCACCTGCTGCAGCAGATGGTCTGGAGACACGACCCCCTCATCCTCCTCCACTGCAGGGTCCGCCGCCTCTGCTTCCCCGCCCCTGCCACCACCCGCACTGCCGCCCCTCGCAGCAGCCAGGCCTTGCCCATCCCCCACGGAAGCCACAGAGCTTGACCGAGATAACGCTCCCTCCCTCTCCCCCCCTCCCGTTCCCCCTCCTGCTCCCGCTTTCCCCTCCAGTGCTTCCCCCATGCCGCCATCACCACCTAATACAGCAGCCCCTGAAGCCCCTGATTCACCAGAATCTGCGGCCACATGAAAGAATCCTCCCGAGCTCGTTCGCTCACTGGGTCCCAATTGCTGGGCTGACCGCTGCTCAGCTGCCCCTGCCCCTGCCCCTGCTGGCCCTGCCCTGTCCTGTCCCATAAACTGTTCCCTCGCTGCAACAGTGCTGTTGCTACTAGCCACGTTAGTGCTGCTGCCAGCACCACCAGAAACAGCAGCAGCAGCAGCAGCAGTTGGTGAGCCTTGTACAGGTTTGGGCTTTTGGGCAGCAGCAGCAAGCGCAGTAGCATAGGTGGAGAGCAGAGAGGAGAAGGCGGAGGAGAGGGCGGGGAGGGGCGAGCGCGAGGCGAGGAGGTCGGAGAAGAGGGAGAGGCAGATGGAGCGCACCTGCTGCCGGTTGCAGCGCCGGCGCTGCAGCAGAGCGAAGAGAGATGCGCGGTCGGCTGCACACACTGCCAGAGTCTGTGGGAAGGATGCGAGGGGGAGGGACGGGCGGCGGTGGGAAGTGGAGAGCACCAACGGTCCAGGATAGGGAAGAGGAGAAATAAATGAGGAAATATGAAGGAAGGAGGAAAGGCTGGGGGGGAGGGGGGGGGGGGGGGGAGAAGAGATACATCAAAAGGAGAAAACAAGGGAAAATGGCATATAGCTGTTGCAGGATAGTAAGACAAGGTCCTGCAAAATCTGCAGCATGATATGTGCGTCTGTCACACGTGGAACAGCATCCAACCCCGCACTGATGATATGCACACCCACATCCACTCACACCCAAAGACACACACACGCATGCACACACGAGCTGGCAGCGTACCTGCAGGTTGAGGTGCAGGCGCCACAGCACCCCCTTGACATGATCCAACACCAGATCCGGATTCACCAGCACCCACCCCGACCCGTACACCTTCGACCGAGACCGTGACCTGCCGCTGCTGCTGCTGCTACCGCTGCGGGTGCTGCCGCTGCTACCGCTGCCCCCCCCACTGCTGCTGCTGCTGGTGCCAGTGCGAGGCGTGGAAGGAGCAGAGGAGCCGTCGCCGCTGCCACTAGCAGTGCTGACACTCGTGCTGGTGCTAGAGAGACTTGTGGAGGAGCGGGAGAGAGAGCGAGGGGGCGAGCGAGGGAGTGTTTGCGAGGAGGAGGTAAGGGGCGCAAAGGCGGGGGCAAGCGCGGGGCAGATGGGCTTCCAGTGGTTGAGGAGGGGGTCGAAGAGCAGCAGGCGGTGGATTGCTGGCAGGTGCACCAGGAGGAGGTTGTCCGCCACACTCACGGCCACACGAGTGGACGGCAGAGGGATGGAGACCTGAGGGATTCGTTTCGGAGTTTGGAGCGAGAGACAGGGGTGTAGTCGGAAGGAGGCAGAGGCGTGCTGGGCAGTCATGATTGCACAAAGAAGGAAATATCCAACCGTGCTCGCCAATACCGTGCACACCGCAGCAGGCACAGATTGAAGGGGGGAGAACCGACCTTCCCTATTCAGTGCCCTGCCTCTCCTACTCTCACTGGCAGCACTAGTCCACCCCCTGCCTCTCCCTCGTACCTGCAGCACAATGGCGTCGCGGAAGAAGCGGAAGATGTGCAGCAGGGAGGACACTCGGTCCACCTGAATGCAGTATATGCGGCCGTACCTGCACGCGCGCATGGAGATGGGGAGAGGGCGGGTAGAGAAGTTGGGGAGGAGGGAGAGGAGGGGGCGGAAAGTGTGTGGCGAGAACCACCGGTGGCGAAAACTACACGTGCGCGAGTATGTTGGCGTGCTGCTGGGAGCAGAGGCTGCTGGGAGCAGAAACTGTTGGGGGCAGGCTTTTGATAAGCTGGCACAACAAGGCACACTCACATGTTGGCAATGCGCACGTCCTGGGGGGCTAGAACCACGGGCGGTGGCGGCTTGGCAGTGAGGGAGTGCGTTGGCACGGTGGTGGGAGCAGGCGTGCCCAGCTGAGCGCTGAACTTGGGCAGCTTCACCAGACCTGCTGCAGAGAACTGGAGGTTGAGGGGGGAGTGTAAGCGACAACGGAAAAAGAGCCGATAAGAAGGGTGAAAGACAAGGAGGAAAAGAAAGGGGAAGACGAAGGTCAAGTGGAGGAGGCTTGTGGAGATCAATGCGTGCTCCCCACGCCCCCAGACCCTTGACACCCTCACGTCCCAGTCCGAGCCGTTCCCAGCACCCCAGCGCACCTGAATGGCAGTGAGCGTGCAGAACCTGGGCCCTGCAGCGAGGATGAGCACTCGCGACTCATGCGTGTACACATACCACCCTATGGCCACGCGCCATGCCTCCACCACCCGCATCACCACCTGCCCTGACCCCGCCCCCCCTGTGCCTGACCCTGACCCGCCTGGCCCTGCTGCTCCTACTGCTCCTGCTGAGGGTGACCCTGGTGCCCCTGCTGTTGCTGCTGCTACCACTCGAAAGAGCTCCAAACCCCTGAGTTTGAGAGGTTCATGAGAGGGCGGCGGGTGGTGGAGGGGAGGATTGGTTGGCGGGGAAATCGGGGTGGAGAGAGTGGATTAGGAGGAGAGATTATAAGGAGAAAGGGGGAACGGGGTTAGGAAACGCATACGTGACATAAGGCAACAAAGAAGCAGTTTGATGAACCCAAGGAATATTTAAGATTCAGATGTTCGAAACTCTCACCCAGTTGTGACAATAACGAGGTCGCAGAGAGGGCAATCCGACCAGAAGAAGCCCAGGATCTTATCCGCCGCACTTCTACTTCTGTACGTGAGTGCCGGTGCTGTCACTGTAACAGGTGCGCTCATAGCAGCCTCTGCTGCCGAGCTGCCTCTACTTCTACCACTAGCACTACCATTGCCAGGAGCACCGCTGCTACCACTAGCACCACTGCTGCTGCCCGTGTTTCCCGGCCCTTGTTCTCTGCCTGCGCCCACACCCTCGCCTGCCTGCTCCCCTCCTTGCCCTGGTGCTGCAGCGCTACTGGCAGCGGCTGCTGGACTGTCACTACCAGAAGAGCCAGCAGCAGCTGCAGCAGTGGGTGTGGGGGAAGCGGAGGCGGAAGAGGAGGAGGTGGAGGAGGTGGAGGTGGTGGCTGCTGCGGCGGTGGTGGTGGAGGAGGGGCGTCGGAGCAGCAGTTCGAGCTCGTGCGCGGACCGTTGAACCGCGAGGATGCGGCCGTCCAGGGAGAAGCGCACAGCCAGCACAGGGCGGTCCGATATCGCAAACACCTGCGGCGCTGGCTGCTGGACGGGCTGCAGATGGCTGTGACTGTGACTCTGACTGTGCCCCACCACCTGCTGCTGCTTCTGCTGCTGCTGAATGTACTGTCCGAGGCTCTGCTGCTCCTGTGCTGGCGTAGGCACGCGCCACGCGTACACCTTCTCATGTGCCGACACGAGCAAAATGCCGTGGGGCTCGTCGTACATGACACCCGCTGCCCCCGGCACGTCAAAGCGCAGCAGAGGCCGCGGGCCCAGCACCACAGGGCTGGAATCCTCTGGTAGTGATAGCGACGAGGAGAAGGGTGATGGTTGTGCTGACGGTGATGGTGCTGATGGTGACGGTGCTGCTGATGATGGTGCTGGTGATGCCGGTTCGGACCCCCACCCTCCCCCTCGTCTTCTCTCTCTGGGCGTTCTCGTCGACCCTTTTCTCGGTGACATGGCTGGTGACTGTGACGGTGACATGGCAGGGGACATCCCTGGCGTTCGCATACCAGATGAAACGCCAGATGACATGACTGGCGTGTAAGATGAAACCATGGATGGAGGGCAAACAACTTGCTATCTATTCATCAACTGGAGTGCATCAGCTATGCTGGATTGTTCCCGTGACTTCCAGTATGTGCACCACAGCTTCTGCCTCCTGTCCACTCCCCACCCCTTTCGCTCCTACCCTCCTTTCTCACCTTCTCTCTCCACTCTCCGTCCGTCCCCCCTCAGCACGCAACCAATGACATTATCCCATCAACAAATCTCACTCCTCAGCACCTATCTCCTTCCTTCCAACTCCCCAGAATCAACACACGCCCTAGCCTGCTGCAATCTGTCACTGCTGCGTGCACCGCCAACACAGCAAGAGACAGCTAAAGTCTCAGCAGTGGTGCGCAACTCAGCAATCGCCGCTACTTGCGCTTACGCAACTGCATGGACAGCGAGTGGGATGAGTGAGGTGAAGGCAGAGACAAAAGTCAATTTACTGAAAACACCAGAATCAGAGAGCACGAAATCACCCCAGACACGGATAAATAAGAATCCAAGGGTAAAGGTGACCACCTACGTGAGGTGTGGGACAAGGAGGAGCGGAGAATAGACGAAGCAGAGAGCAGCCGGGAGAAGGCGAGGGGAGGGAAGGGGAGGGGAGGGGAGGGAACGCACGGAGGCGTAGAAGCAGGACTTGAGCTGCAGGAACTCCTTGTCGCACACGGCCTTGTCCACGCCTGGGACTCTCGCAGCCACGCAACGCCCGTACGCTGCTGCCTGGCACGGGGCGAGATGCACGAGGGGAGAGCGGGAGGGTTGAGGAGGGGGGAAGAAAGTCGGGAAGGGATATTAGTGCCGGGGGAGAGGAAGAGATGAAAAGATGAGAGGGGTAAGGGAAGAGAGGAGGAGAGGGAGAGAGGGGGGTGGGACGAAAGAAGGGTGGGGGGAGCCGGGGGGGGAAGGAACGGACTGCAGACAAGTCAGAGTGAGGGGAAGGCATCGAAAGGGAGGATGTGCGGACAGGAGATTATCGCAGATATGCGATTGGATAGTATCAGCGGAAAGCATGCGCAAAGAGACGAGCTAAGGTGAAGCGACTGACACTAGGCGGGAGTGACTATTTGACCAGGCGACGGAAGGGGGACGGATTTGAGACGAATAGGAGTCGGAATTGGGGAGACAAGTGCAGATCAGGAAGTTTTAGGTCAAGGTGAGCGAGAGATAAGACGAGGTACCTCAGCAGAGCATGCAACAAGTGCTGCATGGAACGACGTGAGGAAGCGGTTCGGATCCTTGGGTGGAGACGCGGTCATTTAGGGCAACGACAAGAGACCCAGTACCAGATCGTAAAATACGGTCACTACGCAACAATCAACAACCGCGGTAGTGATCTGAAAGTCGCAGGGTGCTTGCGGGATTGCCGGAGCGAGGGAAGCTATTTGAGCGTGTGGTGGTGACTAGAAGTAACCACTGCTGCTGAATCTGACTGAAGACTGAATCTGGTGAAGAAACTGGAAGTGACACATACGCTTAGTTGGAGGAGTTGGTCTTGACGTTTGTCGTGTAGAAGGGCACTTAGCATGTATATAATATCTAGCATGTGACAAGGGGTTGTTGTATTTGGCCAATCCCTAACTGTTGTTTCATTCAAATAATATGAGCAAACTGTTACAGGTGTGGTGCCTCAATATGGCATGTAAAAAATAATGATACTATAATTCGTTGAGTGAGTGAAAATAATTTATCATTCTTTTTCATACATTCGAATGAGCTTATCGTTTCCTTCTTTCTAATACAGAAATGCGGACATCCTACTAGCATGCCACCATCGTCAGACCTCACGCCTGTTTGCGAACTCAGTGGAGGGACGCAACGAGGATGATTTCCTGCTGACGTGAGGCTTGTGCTGCCACTCTCACCATCATTATCATGACCAACTTCCTGGAGTGGGTTTCTCTTCGCGTTTGTTTATTTACTATCTAGCCGTGCTTGTCTGTTCCCTGCGAATCCACCCTCTGCTCCCAGCTCTCGCCCCAAATGAGTCAGTCTCGGAACCTTCTCATATATTCTTTCATTTCACGGGGAGATGTTGTTCTGGTGGAATACACCCCCTATGCGGGGAACTTTAGGGTGGAAGCAATGAAAGGCTTGAAGAAAGCCGCATCATCCGCTAAAGGGAAATACTCGTATCCTTTTGACGAGCTCACTTTCAACTATCTAACTGACCACGGGATAAGTATGTGATAATTTTCTCTTTGAGTTCCCCGCCAAATGCAATTTCTTATTGGCCTTTCCTCTGCAGCCTATATGGTCATGGCTGACTGCATGTACGGCCGCAGACTACCTTTCGTCTATCTCGAGAAGTTGAAAGATCTCTTTGTGGACAAATACGGGGCACGTAGCCTGGAATCCCTTCAAGCCAATGCACTCAGCCAGGAATTCGGGTATGCTTGATGCATGTGTGAGGACTCTTTTAAAATGTTTCTTACCAACCACTTGAATTCAGGCCGTTGATGAAAGAGCTCATGGAGTTCAGCATGCATAATAGCGACGAGATGAAGCAGTTGGCCAAGCTCAAGGCCCAAGTACTAGAAGTTCAGAGTGCCTTGACCAACAACATTGAGCAGGTAAGGAAGGCATACAAAGCTCCAATGTCGATGATGCTCTGATTCAATCTAACGATAAGCTTGTCATTTCAGGTGGAAGCTGCATCAGCCAAGGTAAGACTTCTTTTACAGGTTGAGAGGGAATGTTGCATGTCATTCACTGTGGTATGGATCAGTAAGAGTATGCCATTGTGCAGGTGGAGGAGGATCGTTTTCCACAAAAAGCAGGCAGATCAAAGTGCTCAACAGTATGCCGGGTTATATTGTGTGTGCTCATCTTGGCGCTGTTAACAGGCTCGCTTGCTGCTTGGTTCCAGCTTTGTAATTCTGGGGGCTGTACCTTCATACACCAGGGATCTGTCTGACATGGCTTGATTTTACCGTGCTTCGGGCATCATGCAGCAGCACATGAAGAGCTGTTCAGTACTACACAACTTGCCGTTTTCCTGCTGCGTGGCACCTGTGCCTTGCTCTAACGATCGCCACATACCCTCCATGCAACAGTCCCTGGTGTGACAAAAAATATCCCACCCTTGTCCGAGTGTGGGTGCAACTTGCCAGCCTTGTAGCAAGCCCCTGCTGCTGCACACCACCTTTCCATATAATCCTAATAATGCCATTGTGCTAGTGCTCTGAAACGTTCTAGAAATGTATGTAGCATCATGCTAGCGTACAGATTGTAATGGCCTTGAGATATATGGAATAATTGTATGATATAACTGGAAGGAGTTTCATGTTGATACAGTAATCATTGCACTACAAAACGCGAACTAAGCTCCACGACCTGAATCTGCTTCCATGTCAGGGGCAAAACCAGAGGAATTTTGGTTACTGAACTTGGTGCTTGAATGAGCGTCAGCTCGTTTCTCTCTGCATCACTCCATGGCGGTTTTGCGCCAGCCTTTACGGAGGCTTGGTCAAGTCCTTGAGGCGTGTGAGCGTCGGATGCGCCATGCAGGTCCTGCGATCGCGTTTTCCTGCCCGCTGCTGGAACCAAGCTCGCCTGGGTTGAGAGTCGCGTCGCACGATCCCTGCTCAGGTAGATTCCTGCGTCGACCTCTCTGGATCCGGGCCAATGGCCAGCCAGCCTTAGGAGCATGTGTTTAGTGACCAAATTGGGGTCTAAACGGTCAAGATCACTCTAGCGACCAGTCGTCCAATCATCCATCCTCTGCCTGCGTTGCCTCCATATAGCGGGTCCGGATGCCGACATAAGTGTCGCCTCGCACGTCTCCAGGCCCACGTCAACGAAACTAACTCTTTCGTTTTTCTGTATTCTCTTCCACCGCATCCCTACGTACTACTACTCCCGCCCCCACTCTCGTTTGCCTTGCACCACCGTTTCTGTTCCCTTGCGCCAAACCACCAACCCTCACAGGCATTCAGTTTCCAGCCGGCCGCTCTCTCCACCACACTTGGTCGCACCATGGGGGAATGGCCCACAGATCCATGCCAGGGGATGGCCTGGCATCAGGTGAAGCCGTCCCCAGCACCACTGGTGGGTGCTCAGCAGGGGATCAAGACAAGGAGAAGCAGGAGGAGCGTCCTTCAGGCTTGCCTGTAGCAGAGCGGTGTAAGGTTGTCCCTTGCTTCTTCGGAGCCTCTAGCAGAGTTAGAAGCTTTTTCCAGTCGCTGCAATCGTCTCGCCGCTCTCATCCCTGTCTCTCCTGCAAGCATCACTCTCCACACCTTGTGCATTTCCTCCTCTCACCGCTGTCCCCTCTCCAGTCCCTGCTAGCAGCCAATTGGCGCGCTCAGCTCACCACAGTGCGGGCAGACGCTCAGTCCAGTGCTGAGGATGACAGTCCTGATGCCTCGCCCGCTGCGATGTGCGTGTTGGAAGAATGGGAGTGGGGGTTGGTGGGGGAGGGAAGGGTGGCATACACTGTGTGTGAGGATGGTATGGGGGTTTATGATTCACTTGCCACAGGCTTTGGAATCTTTATTCGTGGCTGGTGCTGATGTGAGACATCTGATGTCTTGACCATGTCCGTGGGATGCATGTGTGGGTGGGTGGGCTTGGTGGGGTGGGGGGAGGAAGAGTGTGTGGCACGTTTGTGTGGATCTGTGCATGTGACACTCGCACACATCAGGGCACGGGAGAAGCTGCATGGGTCGTTGGTGCGCTACATTGTGGTGGACGGCTCTCCCATCGTTGCCCTTCTGCCCGATGATCCCCACCACGTGGTGCGTGTAAAGTCAAACTACAAAAACTCCCTGATATGATTCTCGCCATGTGGTGCACTGAATTTAAAACTTCTGCCTCTTGAGCTGGCCCTCGTGCTTGTCTCCTCCTCTCTCCCCTCTCGCCTCTCCCCTCTCCCCTCTCCCCTCTCCCCTATCCGCCTCTCCTTTCTCCCCTCTCTGCCTCTCCCTTCCCCCAGAACCTTCTGATGGATGACAGGGCCTCACTCACTGTGGGGGGAACTGACCCCCCTCCGCTCATCCGCTCCCTCCTCACATCAGGCCAGGTGGGAGTCACACCCTTGCCATGTCCCCTGTGTAAATCTCCTCCTAGCCACCTCCTCCCACACCCACCACCACTTTCCAGCTCTGTCTCCCTCGCATTAAGAGCACCATGGGTAAGCTTCGCCTCTTCACTTGGTCTTTGCAATCACCTTTCACATGCCATCCCACTCATCCCACCATCGCTCATATGCCGTCCCGCCGCCTGCCATCACCCAACCAGATGCCACCTCGTGTTGCCCTCCTAGGCGAGCTTGTGGCCGTGGACTCATCTGAGGTAGGTACCTCTCCCCTCCCGCGCTCCTCCTCCATTCCGTCCTCCCGCCTTGCTTGATTGCTTCCAGTATGCCACCATGTTGCTCTCCAATACCACCCTACACTCCACCTCCCCCCAGCTCAGACCTCCTCTGTGTGTCTCCATCGCCCTCCCAGACGCCTTTCATCCTCCGTCGCTTCGCAGCAAAGGCGGAGGCAGCTACAGCAGCTGTTGCTAGACTGGAGGCCGCCCTGCCGTCCCCTCCCTCCTCCCCTCTCCCCTGCCCCCCACCCCTATCTCAAACTGGGGTGGCCGGTGGTGGGGGAGGTGGGGAAGTAGAGGAGGGAGCGTTGACCTTTTTCCGCATGGAGGCAAGGTGGGGATCGCATGTGATGTGATGCGATGTGATGATGTGATGTGATGTGATATCCTGAGGTACGTGGTGTGATCTGCTGTGCTAGGGCTGGGTGTGCTGTGATGTGATAGGATGGAATGCTTTCGTGCTGCTGTTCTGTGGCTGGGTGTGCTTGATTGTGATGCCGTATGCTATGAGGTGTGGTGAGTCGATGCGGTATGTTGGAAGTGTGCAATACATAACCAGAGTAACGCACATGGATGTCTCATCATGCTTCGTGCTTCCTTTGTTTTCGATCTTGGTGGCTGTCATCGTTTACTCATGCCTTCTTCTCGTCATGCCATCGCATGTGTCTACCATCATGTCATCGTATGTGGCATCAGGTCATGTCAACTTGTTGATTTCAGGGGCAAGCGAACATCACTGCCAGTGGCAGACATTAAACCAGCTGCCACTGACCCCCTTGGTTCGTTTATCCACTTATCCACTCTCTAACAAAAGGAGCAACAGACTCACCAACAGTCTCACTCATACACTCACCCACACACCTGTCTGTTGCCATGGCCTGCTTGTAACCCTCGGTGCTTGCTGTCTTGTTCCATTTATCCCCTCCCTTTCACTCCTGCACTTCTCATATCTGTTATACATTCGTATGCCTGGTTGCTCCCACCGTTCTCCTCTCATTCCGTCTCCCCACTTCTTATAACCCCCACCCCTCCTCCCGCCTTGTCACCCGGCGTCCCCTTGTCTCCTCCTGCGTCCCCTCGTCCCCTGTCGCTGCAGCCACGTCTCTCCTCCCTCTGCTCCTCGCGCTCAACTCCTCCGCTGCTTCGCGAGCGGCCTTGGCTTCGTTCTGCGAGGCCTTCCTGCAAGTGCCTGCTCGACCACAGGCACGGCGTGCTCCACCGATAGCCTTCCAGCACTCTTCACCATCCGCTCCTCTTCCACCCTATGCTCATCTGCCTACGTCCTTTATCTTACCTACGGTTGTCTCACTTGACCAAGTCATGCATTTCACTCCCGTCGTCTCCCCTGACTTTTGTGCACACCTGCTGCCTCCTCCGATTTTAACATGCTGTTCGTTTTCGCCCCGCTCGTCAATGTGTCCCTCCTTCCACCTCCCCAGACCACCTTTCTGTTCTCTGCTGATCGCCGGGGCTTCAATCTCCTTTCGCAGTCACTGCAGCCACCGCAACAGCAGCATGTGGAAGAATCCAGCCAATCAGGAAAGCCGCAGTGGCGAGAGTTTCGGTTTGAGTTCCAAAGAGAGGTCACAGATGCCAAGGGGTTTATGCAGGTGGTTAGGGAGATGGAGGAGGAGGTAAAAGCAGAAGTAGGTAAGTAGGGTATGTAGGGCATTTGGCCCATGTTTGTGCGTAGGAGGCGTTTTTAAACAACATTGGTTCTGGTGTTGACGTACAATGCAATATTTTGCACCCTTGATGCTACCTCGTGGAGATAAATGTCTCACTTCATATATTTAGGATAGTATCATATTTTTTGTTTAGTTCCGTGATGTCATCAATATGTTTTACTGTGGTCATGGAGAACCATTTCGGTAGGCTTGGTGCAGCTGCTACTCCCGCCGCCAGTCTGTGTCTGGTTGCCCCCTGGTCATAAACCTGACGAGTCGCTGACATAGTTTTCCATCGCTGAGACTGCGGTGCGGCTCATTGTATGTCAGCTGAACGCTGTCGTTTTCTGCAAGCCCCAAGCCTGCCATGTCAACGAACTGTGTCCCTTCAGTTCCTTGTCCAAGGACTCATCTTGTCCGTTAGATCTCTGCGAAGAGTCTCGTCTGTCGTTGAACAGCCACACTAGACCAATCCGAATCCTCCACGTACGCAGTAGCAGCTTCTACGACGCTTCCGGAGTATCACATGAGGTTCTCCGCACCGCCCATTCCGAGTCGCGACTGTGGCCACACACACTTTTCAGATGTCCATCAACATCAATTTCATCACAACCGTAACACTGTCAAATCTGCTGGCAGGGCGTGCAGAGAAACTGTGAGAAATTCGGATGGATCTTGTAGCCTCTGCTGATGAAGGGCATCACAGCGTGTGGTGTGATGCGAGTCGGGTTTAGGTGACCCCGTGCTCCTGTTGTCAACTGCATTTGATGCACACAAGGACCAGACTTCACTACTGGCTACACGCGGGATAGCGAAAAAGACACGAGGAGTCCATCAGGTTCCATCTGCCAGCGGAACAAGTTTGAGTTTCCCTCGCGCAGGCGCTCACAGAGTGCCGCAGCCCGACATTTGCCCATCAGCACTCCTTCCCCGTCAACCGCGATGGTGAGACGGCGAGAGAGATGATGCGACATTCGTCGGCGCCCATCCACGCTCTCCTCTCCATCTAAGAGCCAGAACATTCGGATCACTCGTCAACGGAAGGATTGAGGGAATAGCGTACCTCGCGCGTATGTCTGATTTTAGCGTCCATCTAGGTCGGTCTCGCGTGAGCGCAGCAACCTCGACATAGCACGCAGGTCCGGAGCGAGTAGCGGCCAGGAAGCTTGAATTGAAGAGGACTCCTAGTCACGGCCAGGGTACGATAGCCACGAGTAATATCAGCGGCTTTAATTCCCTCGACAGCTCAACCGATCGTCGCCATTGTGGGCTGTAGTATTGGGCAACGATCGTAAACCACGTTCGACCAAGGGCCCCACAGAAAGAGCCTCTGTTATAGCTCCTGTGCCGAGGTACGACTGCCGACTCAACTCTGCATCAAGCGCTCCATCTCCGACGCTTAGACCACGCGTTGACCCGGTTCCATTCCCTCTAGAGCATGCGCATTCTCCTTACCTTGTAAGGATGGCCCACAGACTGCCCGACACGCTCCTAGCGTGTGCTAGACGCCCAAAAACACGCTTCCCCAAACGCCTCCTCAGACCCTCTCGCAGACCTTCACTCCAGTCGTCCCTTCTTCTCCTCGCCGCGTTCGCGCTTTCCCTCCGCGTAACGCTCGTATCCGCCGCCACATTTCAGGGCGACACGGACGCGCTTCTCGAGTTCAAAGCCGCCGTCGCCAACCCGTCCGCGCTGAGCTGGCCCGATTCGGGCGGCGACCCGTGCGTCGACGACTGGAGCCACGTCACGTGCACGCGCGACGCGATCACCCAAGAGCACCGCATCTCGTCGCTCCTAATCGACAATCTCAACCTCGGCGGAAGCGGCTCCCCGCTCCCCACGCAGCTCGCGCGCCTAGGCTACCTCCGCGCGCTGTTCCTGGGGAACAACGGGTTTGCGGGGGAGATTCCGGGGGAGCTGGGGCAGCTGACGCGGATGGAGCAGCTAGGGCTGGACCACAACGGCTTCACCGCCGTTCCTAGCGACCTCTTCGCCAACATGACGGCGCTCGAAGCGCTCTATCTTCAGAGCAACCCGCTGGGCGGGCAGACGCCGCCGGATCTCGCGCAAAACACCAAGCTGCAGATCCTGCTCCTTACCAACTGCTCGTTCACGGGCGAGTTACCGCCGTACCTTGCGTCGCTAGTCGCGCTCACTAACGTCTCCTTCGGGCTTAACGCGCTCGAGGGCGCGATTCCCGAGGGGCTGTTGGGCGCGCACATGCCGTCGCTGCTGTCGCTCCGCCTCAACAACAACCAGCTCTCCGGCCCCATCCCCGCCTCGCTCTCCTCCGCGCCGCTCCTCTCCGAGCTCTGGTTGCACGGTAACGACCTCTCCGGACCCATTCCGGATACGCTAGGTGGCCCCTTGTCCCTGCTCCAGTCCGTGAAGCTATACGAGAATAGTCTCGTCGGTATGCTGCCCGAGTCACTCGGCGAGGCGCGGCAGTTGTCGGAGCTACAGGTCCAGCGCAACCGATTGGTTGGGCCGATTCCCGCGTTTATGGAGCGGTTCGGGGAGGGGAGCTGGGGTGAGAACGGATGGTGCGCGCCGAGCCCTGGCGACGCGTGCTCCGATGAGGCTATGGCGTTACTGGAGTTCCTAAGAGGCGTGGAATACGCGCCCGCGCTTAGCGACTCGTGGGTTGCTAACGACCCCTGCGCTTCGAGCTCGGGGTCAGGGTCGAGCTCGTCTGGTGCCCAGTCGTCGTCTGCCACGTGGCTCGGTGTTGGGTGCTCGACCGATGGCCACGTCAGCAGCCTCACCGTTCCCGGGCAGAATCTGAACGGCACCATCTCCGCGTCGCTCACGCGGCTGCCCGCGCTGGAAATGCTTCAGCTGCCCGACAACAATCTCGAGGGCTCGCTGCCCGCGGAGCTCGCGCAGCTGCCCGCGCTGCGAGCCGTCAACGTGGCGAACAACAAGCTCACCGGACCGCTGCCGGATTTCCCGCCGCAAGTGACGGTGCTGGCGACGGGGAACATGCTGGAAGGCGGAGCCTCCGGGGGGGATGGTGCTTCCGCCGCCGCGCCCCCGCCATCATCCCCTCCACCAGTAGCGAATAGCAGCGGAGGGAGCGACGGCGCTAGTAGTGGCAGTAGCGGCGGAGGCAGCGGAAACAATGCGGGGAGTGGCGGGGGGAAAGGCGGCGGATCGGGAAGCGTTCCGCCATTGTCGCCGCCAGCTGCAGCACCAGACGGATCCGGGAAGGATGGCGGGAATAGTAGCAGCGGGGGGAATAGTAGCGGCGGGGGGAATAGTAGCGGCGGGGGCAACAGCGGGTCGAAGAACGAGGCAGGTAGTAATCCAGGCATCAGCGGTCCCACTGATTCCCCCTCAAGTTCGCCCCCCACCACTCCGCCTCCCCAGCCGTCCGCTCCGCCCTCTTCTCCTTCCGCCGCGTCCGGCTCTCCACCCCCATCCGCATCCTCAAAGCGCGCCTCTCCCCCGCGCGTGGCGGATATCGAAGCACCCGCTTCCGCTCTTCCTCCGCCCGTTGCGCCTCCCGCGTCGGCGGATCCCGCGCCGCTTCCCCCCACCGCGTCCATCCGCAGCAATCCGCGGGGGAACGCGCCTGGCACTCCGCCTCCCGCGGAGTTTAACACTTCCGATGTTAACAGCAGTAGTGGCAACGGCAACAGCAGCGGCAATAGCGGCGGCGGTGGCAGCGGCGGTACCAAGTCGAAATCAGCATCCCCCTCCCCGACGGCCCCAGCCTCCCCATCATTTTCCCCTCCCACCGCCACTCTCTCCGCCGATTCTCCCACACCCGCGCCCCCCTCTCTCCCTCCCCCCACCTCCGACACCTCCCGCACTGCCTCCTTCGCTCCCGGCTCGTCCGCGCCCTCCCCGCAATCCTCCCCCCCTCCCCCCGCTGCTTCCGCCCCCGCGCTGAGCACTCCGCTGATCGCGGTGATCGCGGTGGCGGCGGCGCTGCTGCTGCTGGTGGTGCTGTGCGCGGGGGTGCTGGGGATGCGGTACTGGCGGGGGGAGGGGCGCAGTGGCGGGCGCAAGGGCGGCGCTGCTGCAGCGACCATGCCGCACGAGTGAGTGATTGGGGATCACATTCGTTGCTGCCACCACCACCCATCCACTGGACGGCATCCATCCTTCCGTCTCCCTGTACGCAGGATTATTTGTCGCCTTCTCTCGTGTCCACTACACATCGACCCTTCCCGTCCCCGCCCTTATTTTGACAGCTCATCCTCCCCGTTTCCCTTCCCTCTCCCCCTCCCCCCCCCCCTCCTCCCCCTCTCTCTCCTCCTCCCACAGTCTCCCCTCCGTCGCCCCTTCCCCTTTCTCCTCCGCAGCGTTCTCCGCCTCCGCCGCCGCCCCCCCCTCGTCCGCCTCAGAGAGCGCAACAGGGGGCGCGCATTCAGCAGCGTCAGGGGGAACAGGAGGCGCAGCCAGTGGCGGAGGAGGAGGAGGGGGGAGCGGGTGGGGATCCGGACTGAGCGGGGGAGAGGGCAGGGGGGATGTGGTGCTGAATCTGGGCGCATGGGCAGGGGGGGCCGGGGGAGGGGGGGCAGGGGGGAGGATGATGATACATGGTAGTAACAGTGGTAGTGGGAACGCGAGTGGCAGCGGTGGCAGCAGGAGCGGGAGTGGCGGTGTGAGCATGGCCGGAAGCATGGGGGCGGGCGGCAGCATGGGCAGCGGGATGAGCGGCATGGTGATGCAGATGGACGTGCTGCGCGCGGCCACGGGCGGGTTTGCGGCGGAGAACATCATTGGCAAGGGGGGGTTCGGCACCGTGTACAAGGTGGGGGGGGGAAGGGGGACGCATGGTGCATGGTGCATGGTGCATGGGACCATGGTGCATGGGACCATGGTGCATGGGACCATGGTGCATGGGACCATGGTGCATGGGGGCATGGTGCATGGGGGCATGGTGCATGGGGGCATGGTGCATGATGCATGGGGGCATGGGGGCATGGTGCATGATGCATGGGGGCATGGGGCATTGGGGCCATGGGCCATGGGTCATGGGGTCATGGTGCATCTGCTGGGAGTTTTGTGTGCGTTCACTGAGCTTCTCCTCCACTACCTTATGTGACTATCTCTTGTGACTGTAGAGCTCATTGTGCCTCCTGTTAGCCTGTTTCTCGTGTGTAACCGTACCGCGTGGGCGTACCTGTGCTGTGCTGTGTGTGAGCAGGGCGAGTTGGAGGACGGCACGCGCGTGGCCGTGAAGCGCATGGAGATGGCGCAGCTCGCGAAGAAGGGCGACTCGGAATTCCAGGTAGCTAATGCTGCATGCATGATGCACGATGCACAATGCGATGCCGTAAGTGGCATCGCATGGCATGGCATGGCATGGCATGGGTGCATGAGTGCTGCCGTTGTCATTCTCCTCGCCCAGATAGCCGCCACGAAGACGGCTCTTTCCAGGGCCACCTCCCCCCACCCGTCCTCCCCACCCCGCCCACTCCCCCCACCATTACCCCCCGGTTCTGCAGGCGGAAATCGAGGTGCTGCCATCCGTGCGCCACCGCCACCTGCTGGGATTACTGGGCTACGCGGTGGAGGGCCACGAGCGGCTCCTAGTCTACCAGCTGGTTTCCCCCACCCCGCGTCCCCCTCACCCCGTCACCCCCCACCCCCTTCTTCCAATCCCCCCCTTCCCCGCAGGCGGAGATCGAGGTGCTATCCTCGGTGCGGCACCGCCACCTGCTAGGGTTACTAGGCTACGCGGTGGAGGGCCACGAGCGGCTCCTAGTCTACCAGCTCATGGCGCGCGGCCCGCTCAGCCGCCACCTCTTCGACCACCGCCGCCTCGGCCTCCCCCCGCTGACGTGGCGCGCGCGCGTGTCGGTGGCGCTCGACGTGGCGCGCGGCGTGGAGTACCTCCACTCGCTGGCGCACACGTCGTTCATACATAGGGATCTTAAAGCCAGCAACATTCTGCTGGACGAGGGGATGCGAGCGCGAGTGGCGGATTTTGGGCTGGTGAAGCACAGCAAGGGGGACGGCATGCAGAGCATCGAGACACGGATCGCGGGGACGTTCGGGTACCTGGCGCCGGAATATGCGGGTGAGGCGGGGGGAGCGTAGGAAAGGGAGGGGAGGGAGAGGGGGTGGGGAGGAAAGGCAGGGTGAGGGGAGGAGGAGGTGAGGTGGAAATGGAGGGAAAGTGGAGGGATGGTGGAGGGAAGAAGAGATTAGAGGGCGTGTGTGTTACCGATGAGGGATGGTCTTTGAGAGCCTTTGCAAGCCACACTGTGTGACTCAATCGAATTGAGTCTTTGAAGGCAATCCAGCTCATCTGCCACTCAACCCCCACCTCATCCCTCCCCCACGCCCTTAAAGCGTCCCCCTCCCCCAGCTAACCCCACAGTTAACTGCCCTTGCCCCTCGCTTGCCCCTCGCTTGCCCCTTGACCCTCTACTTGTTTGTTGCTCCGCATGTACAACTACAGCATGATGCTCATCACAAGGCAAAGGGTCGTTCGCAATACACACCCCTCCCCCCTGGCATTCCCATCCCCGCCCACCCCGCTGCAACGAGCCGGTTTACCACCTGGTCTGACGTGTACGGCTACAGCATGGTGCTGATGGAGCTCATCATGGGGCGGACAGCTTACACCTCCGCCCTCCCCACTTTCTGCCCAATACACCCCTTCCCCCTGGTTCCCCCCTTGTTGTGCCCTGCAGTGACCGGGCGGGTTACCACGCGGTCCGACGTGTACAGCTATGGCGTGGTGCTGATGGAGCTCATCACTGGTCGGCGCGCGCTGGACGACTCCAAGGCGGACGAGGCGGCGCACCTTGCCACGTGGCTGGCGCCCCTGGTGCCGCACAGGGACCAGCTCGCTAAGGTGGGACGGAGGGATGGAGGAGGGATGGGTGGGTGCGAAGGTGGGGAATGGGTGGGTGGGGGTGTGGAAGGTCAAGCGTGGAGGGTGGGGGGATGAGGAATTTGAGGTGACTCTGAGCTTGTGCCGCGCAGGCAGCAGGTCACTCAGGGTTGGGGTGGGCTGCTGCTGAGCCATGCAGGTGGGGGGGGGGGGTGTGGGTGTCTTGGTGGGTTGTGGTGTGTGGTGCGGGTTATGGTGGGTGCGCTGTCAGTAAGCCCACAAGCCATGGTGTGTTGCCATGCTCGAGGAGCTCGACCTGATAGTGGGCAATGCAGTGCCTGAAACGGAGTCTATTTTTGAGGCGCCTAAAAAACGGCAGTTGCGGTGATTACTAATGGAACACCACCCTTCTTTCCTGCTCACGCACCTCAGGTCATAGATCCCATCGTGTTGCCCGAGATGCCCGAGTCACACAACGCACACAGCCCACACGGTGCCCATAGCGGCGATGTGGCCGACAGCGGTGTGTTCTCATCGGTGTGCGCCGTGGCGGACCTGGCTCTGGCGTGTGTGTCGAGGGATCCCCGGCAGCGGCCGTCCATGGGGGACGTGGTGGGCGTCCTGGCGCCGCTGCTGCACCAGCTGCAGCAGCAGGAGGAGCGCAAGGAGGAGAGCACGCAGCAGCAGGTGGGGGACGCGGGGGGGGCTGTGGTGGCGGTTGGTGGCTTGCAGTTTGGCTTGTCCCCCCCTTTGGCGCTTTCAGTATTGGTAGTGCAAGCATGGAGGTCGTTCAGATGCATTTTGCACTAAAGCACAACACTGTCCCTCCTTCCTCCCACGACCTGCCCTTCCCCAACCAGACCAACCCCTTCTTCCCCCCATCCCTTCCCCCCCCACCATCTCACCGCATGACCATGGCCGTGCACCACAGGCCCCTCAGGAGGACGTGAGTGTGGCGGGCATCGACCTGGGCGTGAGCCTGGCAGAGGCGCTGCAGCAGTGGAAGCACATGGACGCACACGGAGCTTTCAACTCTTGTGACGTGCACGCACACGCGCATGCACCACGCGCTACTGGTGATGGCAGTGCTGGCGGCACAAGTGCAGTTCCTGCCTCTGCTCCTCGTGACGACGCGTCGTCCATCACTCCAACCCCTGCTGCTGCTGCTGCTGCTGCTGCTGCTGCTGCTGCTGTTTCAGCAGCTGCTGCTTCCGGCAATGCAACCATTGCCCCCTCCAATCTCAACAGCCCTCACCCTCACCCTCACCACCACCTATCCCTGCTCATCGACCCTTCGCCTTCCTCCTCAGGCGCTTTTAGCTTTGGCTCCGCCCGTTATGCAGCCACACCTGCAGTCACCACACCAGGTGGCACCCCCCACATCCTCACTCCCACGCTCACCACCCCCAGCACCACCAGCCGAAGCAGCAGCGGGCGGCTTGGCTCGTCCACTTCCTCAGGCGATCGCAGTATCTTTCTATCCAGCGGCCCGCTTAGTTTAGGCTCGGATGGGTTCCCCACCCCAACCCTGCTGCTAGGCTCGGAAGGGTACCCGACCCCGTCCGTGCGGTTAGGTTCGGATGGGTACCCTACGCCGTCGGTTCGGGATTCGTGGAGCAGTGGGTGGGCGAGTGAGAGGAGTGAGAGTGTGAGTGAGTGGAGGAGTGAGAAGGGAGGGAGTGGGGAGGGGAGAAGGAGAGGGAGTATGAGTGGGGGGCTGGATGCTGTTGGTGAGCCTGTGAGCTGGACGAAAGGGGGGTCGTTCATTATCAAGAGAATCGGGGATCAGCTTGATGATGTGCTTATAGAGAAGGGCGCGTGCAGGAGTGTCGGAGGGGGGTTGGAGGAGAAGAAGGGGCTACTGCTGTGTGCTGAAGACTCGCTCAGGGGCTCGGATGGGGATGGGGTGGGAGCAGGGGATGTTGGTGGGGGGGATGGATGGGATGCGTTCTTTTACCATAGGGGTGGGAAGGGAGGGAAGGAAGGAAGAGGAGAGAGGGTGCGAGGGGAGTATTTACAGTTGGGGGCAGATGAGGTGACGAAGGGGGGTGTGCCGCAGCTAGCCGACATTGGAACGGGGAGGCAAAGGGGGAGGGAAGGCAGGTCAGGCAGCAAGCTCATGGACGAGGTGTTGGTGGGGGCGGGGGGGCGGGGAGGGGACGTAAAGGGGTACGGAGGGGGGGATGGTGCGGGGCTGGGGATGTCGTTAGCAGAGCAGTATGCGAGGCAGGGGTCGTCGGAGGGGGGCTCGGATGCGAGTGGGAGGAGCATCCCCACCTTCATTCAGCCACGCCTTGCGGTGTCAGGCCGCTGAGTGCCACGCCTTGCCGTGTCAGGCCGCTGAGTGCCACGCCTTGCCGTGTTAGAGCGGTAGATGTGGCGTTGGGGCTGGGTGTCTTGAGGTGTAGGGAGGCGGTAGAGGTGTGGTGGTACTGGGAGTTGGTTTGGGTGGGGGCGAGCTGAGACACCTAACAATGCAGATCGGAAGGATGCGAGCTAACTAGCTGGACAAAGGGCTAACTGATGGGTATAGAAGGGTTTGTGTGTGTGCGGTTGGTCACTGGTGCAAGCACTGGCAGGCGTGTGCAGCCATGCAGCCGAGCTGACACCCGTGCCGACTCAAAGCGCGCAGCCATGCTGGTGCAAGGGCGTGGGTGGTTATGAATTGGAGAGTCATGGGTGGGTGGGTAGGCAAATATAGTGACTGGCTGGGCGTTCTGGCATGAGCACGAGTGCATGTGGCAAGACAGGGCAGCTAGGGACCCTTCTTTCTGACTGGAGTATGGCAATGTGTTACCTTCTTGGTGACCATCTGTTACATTGTAACTGCTGACCTTCGGGGCATTTGACAACTGAAGATCCTTCTGCACGTGTGTACTTCGGCATAGGTGTATGGTTGGCATGCTATGTCGGAAGGAGTCATACAAGTTTGAAACGATATATACCCGAACTGGTGCATGCAAGGTGTATTAGAATAACAGATTGAATAGAGACGAGCATACAGGGTGGTTTTGTGCTAGTGTGTTGTACTCTCTATGAGCATGCACCTGTCTAGCCTATAAACAACATATGAATATAAGTTGACAAGGTGGGCCTAGGTCACAAGAACAAACGACTTGAGCTGTGGTGAAGGGTGTTTGGTGTGTAGGAAGGAAGCACATGCATCAAGCCGTGGGTAGACCTTCACTGAAGGACACAACAGGTGACACCCATGCATACAAACATCAATACTAGGTAATCGCTGTAAGGCATGCCCCCAACTCGACATCCTCACCCACATGACACCACTGCAGCATGCGCCATCACCTCACCCACATGCATACCGCCCTACTCATGGCATGTGCACCTTGGCAGGTCAATCATGCATGCCGCCCTGCCCATGTCATGTGCACCATCACAGGGTAGTCATGCATGCGGTCGTACCCCTCCCACGGCTCCCTGCGCTGCCTCCTCTCCCGTTCACTCCCTCTCCTCTCACTGCTCATTCCCTCCACACCACCCCTGCCTGCTCCTTCCTCCTCTCCTTGCCGAACCTTCCCATTCACACCCTCACCCTCCTTCCTCTCCTCCCCCTCCCCCTCCCCCTCCTCCTCCTCCGCCTCGCCCCACTCCTCTCCAAACGCCCGGCTCACCGCCTCATGGTACCTCTCTTCAACGCGCACGTGCCACTCTCCTTGCTGTTGCACGCGGGCCAAGAAGAGTGAGAGGGAGGAGCCCCGGTGGGGGGCAAACAGAAATGCCTCAGGTGGATAGGGGGGGGTTGTTGTCCCCCCCCCTGCTGCTGCCGTGCTTGTTGCCCTGGCTGCAGCTGCTGTGGTTCTGTGTTCTACTGTGGGTGCTGCACTGCCTGCTGCCTCCTCCCCTGCACTGGCTGTTACTGCTGCAGGCGTCGGTGGTTGCTGTGTGGTGGGGAGTGTGGCGTCGCATGTTGTGGCGGTGGCAGGAGGTACGGAGGAGGGCTGTGGAGAAGGGACGGTGAGCAGGGCCGTGATGGTGCGCAATAGGTGCTCGTGATGCTCCTTGAAAAACGTGCTGCCACGAGGGGAACACAGCGATTTAGGAGGGTCAAGGACGGTCAGGGGGGGTCAGGGGGAACTCCCCTCACCCTGGCGTGCTTAAAAGGGCAGGGAAAGCGAGGTGCGAATGGCAAAGAGAGGCAGCAGCGTACCAGTCAGCAGCAATGAGGGCGTGGAAGGGAGGAGAGAGGCCGGGCGGCCAGTGGTGCTTTGGGGGGTGGTGGTCCCATCTCAGGCCCATAACCGAGACCTGGCTCGGCCCAAACTGCTGCCTGTTGGCTGCCACTGTGCGGTGTAGGCCTGATGGCACGGGGGGGCCAAGAGACCGGCTAGGTGCTGAATGAGAGGGTAGGCAAAACTGACAGGACATGACATTGAATCAGAAAAAACATGACACTGTGTGAGACCACATGACATCGCAGGAGATGGCACAAAACACCATACAGCACAGCATGCCAAGAATGACCATCACCCCACGTCACCATCCCACGCCATCTCACGTGCGACCACACTGTCATTGCCATCTGTGAGCAGCACCCTCCCCACTCCCTCCTGCTGCACTGCCAGAGCCATGCCCGCCAGCCCATACCCCGCCCCCAACTCCACCACCCGACGACCCCTGGATCAGCGGAGGGGGGCAGGGAGGGGAGAGGGGGGAGGCAAGGAGGGGAGAGAAGGGAGAGGGCTAAGTGAAGGTGGTGACGGACGGGCGGTCAGGGAAAGGGCTAAGGGAAGGACGAGTGGTTTGAGCCCTACCCGACAGATAGCGCGCTCCAAGCTCCACCACCCGACGACCTCTGGATCAACGGAGGAGGGGTGGAGGAGGAGGAGCAAGGAGAGCAGGGAGAAGAGAAAACGGAAGTGGAGGTGAGGAAGTGGATGGGAGCAGGTTGGCCATTCATGTGCCGCTGTAGCAGGGATCCAACGAATTCAGAAAACCATGCGATTCCAAAGCCAAATTTTTGGAAACCCTTATATTTGGCTCAGGAATCCATGTACTCGAGAGCCCTTCCATCCGCGCACCCTGCTTCTGATGGTGGTCGTGCATGGAAGACACTGGCCACTGTGCCATGTGCAGCGTGCTGCCATGATAGCTGAGTTAGACTAAAACATCAAACACAGGCAAATGTGGCATGGCCTGCCATGGTACCTGAATCTGTACGCATGTGCAATCAGGTAACATGCCATGGCTTCTTCAGATGGCCACATGCCTGCCATCATGCCATCATGCCATCATGCCATCATGCCATCATGACACCAGGTATCCATGCCATCATTGACATCATGCCATCATGTCACATGCCACATGCAATCGCCATCAAACCACTCCATCATAATCACAGGGGGGTCATAATTTACAACAGGATACAAATAAACAGACAGTGAGATAAAAGATTGATGGATGGTAAGTGTGCAAGTGTGAGGGCGACTGACCGAGCACCCCAGTGGTGTCGATGCCTGCTCTGGTCGCTGCTGCCATCTCAGAGAGGCGCACACGGCCCGCCACTCTGTGCCTAGGGGGGAGGGAGAGGCAGCAGGACGAATGGTTGGGGGGATGGAGGGATGGAGGGAGGAGAAGGAATAAGGAACAGCAAGCACGGCAGTTCGCTTTGACCAATGCAAACGACTCCAGCCTGCCAGAGAGTCAATGTAACAAAATGCCGGGATCGCACGCACCATATAGTGATCTCTTTGACAAGCCATGCCGCATGCTCTGTGAGGCTGGTCGGGGGGAGATGGGCGCTCAGGGATGTGAGGGATGGGATAGCAGAGGAGGAGGAGGAAGAGGAGGAGGAGGAGGAGGAGGAAGAGGAGGAGGAAGAGGAGGAGGAAGAGGAGGAGGAGGAAGAGGAGGAGGAAGCAGAGGAGGAGGTGGAGGTGGGGGAGGGGGAAGAGGAATGGGGCAAGGAGGAGCAGCAGCAGCGGCGGCTGGGCTGAATGGGGATGCGGTACACGAAGGGGCGGTCCCATTGCACTCTATCGCCCATGCCTGCCCCTCCCTCCGCTTTCATGCCTCTACCTGCTCTCTGGGTCAAATCCCCCGCGCCTGCCCTCATACTATCCGCATCCCCCGCGCCTGCCCTCGCACCATCCGCATCCCCCGCGCCTGACCCTACACCATCCGCATCCCCTGGGGCTGCCCCCGCACTATCCGCTTCCCCCGCGGCTGCTGCCCCACCATCCGCAAGTGGTGGGGGTGCGCCTGGTCCTGCGCTCGAGGCCTCCGCAGGTCGGCATTCGAACAGGTGGAAGCCTCTGATTGGTCGGCGCGAAACCCGCTCATCCGCCTCGCAGTTTCCGGAAGCCTCTCCCCTTCCGCCCCCCCTCGCATCCCCGCCTCCCCCCTGCCCCCTGTCCCCCGCCGCGGCTTCCCCCGTTCCCCCTTTCTCCGCGGATGCCTCCAGCAGCGCGCGCGCCAGGATCTTCCAGCGACTGCGCGCCGAGCTGCCGGTCTGGAAAGAGCCTTTCCTACCGCTGCCTCCCTTGCAGACGTCATCTGCTGCAACAGTGTCACTTGACATATTAACCGCTTCGTATGTGCGCCGTACGTAGTTTCTTGCCACGTCATCTTCTGTCGCATATCAGGCTAGTCGGAACCATTGCCGCTAGTAGGCGTACACAGTCTATTTTTCCGATGACTCAAAACTGCACTTTCCCAGCAGCGAAGTAGTATTGTGCCATTCCAGTTTCGAACTGTGCTAAGCTGCTTGCCCTCTCATGCAGCAGAATGCAAGCGCTCGAGTCGAGAATGTCGAGATTACAGGGGGAGGTGTGGTGCAGATACACATCTATACGCCTATCTTTTTTCTCAACATATAATTTCATGCAATACTTAAATTCGTGAAATCTATCATTACAATTACGGTAGGTTACAAAACAAAGGGAATAATGGCCCATCTACTTGCTGGGTAATCATCCATCTTCTTGCGATACCATCTCTTTGTTGCGATGCTTCGCCCACACAGGTAGAGCAGGGTGAACAAGAATTCCGCCACACCTATCGCTGTCTGAAAATGGCAGTATGAAAGTTAGGGAAAGGGAGACCGAGTCGAAGTAAATAAAAAGGCACCCTGCACTGAACACTCAAGATGGACAAACTCACTGCCTAACGAAACCATCACCATAGCGGGAATTGATGAAAGCAGCCATGGCAGGAAATGTGGACAATAGCATTGACGTTCCAAGGTGTAACAAGTGTTTCAAATCCACTGCCTAGCAGTGCGTACTTGCCTGCGACATCAATGCGACGCCAAGGAAGTTGATGCACTCAAAGAGGTAGTGCGGGCAGGTCACCCAGTGGAACAAGCCACCGTGAGGAACTCGGTACTCATGGCTGCCTGGAGGAATGCAAGACACACATATGCAGTTCCAGAAGCGTGCACACGGGAACCACCATGAGCACAAGACACCAACGTGTTGGAAAGGACGAAGAAAAAGCACGTGAAACAGAATGGGGGAAGTACAGAGAACTGGCTAGAAGAGAAGAGGGTTGAAGATGTCAGACCATGAGAGCGTAGGCGTGAGAGAATCCAGTGGTGGTAGAAGTTTCCAGCAACCCCAATGAGGAAGAGCAGCAGGCCCAAGGGCATGAGATTCGCTGCAGGCGCAAGGCTGCACGGGGCAGAAGCACCAGCGCTGGCAGCATTAAGGCTGGCAGCAGCGGCAGCAGCACTCCCAGCAGCGGCAGCAGCAGCAGGGGAGGAGAGAGCAGCAGCAGTGATCCACTGCGCGGAGAGGAGGGCGTAGGAGAGGTCGCAGTACCCGAGGGTAACAAACACTACTGCGGGCAGAGCCGTTGAGCCTGAGTAGCGGTGGAGGAAGAGCGTCTGATCAGAGGGGTGGGAGGAACATGGAGGCGTAGGATGAGCCGGAGGCAAAGAAGTCAGCCGGGCATCTCGTTCGAGCTAGAGACAACAAGCATGCAACAACACATCTCCCAGGCATGAGACGCCATGCACCAAGCACGAATTTCAAGCAAGGCAACTAGCAGCCTGCAGTTACAGCTCCACTTACTTCCAGGCATCGCTTGGCATAGTGCACGAAGCAGGCGGCACACACCAGCACCAGGCGCCACTGCTCACTGCTCGTCGCTGCTGCTACCAGCTGCCACGCACCCATGCTTCCCTCTAGCCCCAGCTTCCCAATCCCGGCACCCTCAACACCACCGACACCACTGGCAGTATCAGCAGCAGCAGCAGGTGGTGCAGTGGTCCAGGTAGCAGTAGTTGGTGGGAGTGGGATGGGCGTGGCCGGCACCATGTGTGTGGCGTAGAGGAGGGTCCGGGCGGGAGAGAGGCCAAGGGCGGCTGAGAGGAAGAGAGCAGCGAGGAGCGCGGATGGGAGGTAGAAGAGGAGGAAGGCCAAGAGAGAGGGTACCTGCAGGAGGAGGGGGGATCAAGTCTCACCTACCGCTGAGCAAGTCTCTGAGACTTGCTTGGCGTTGGATCTTGGGACTCGGGCTTTAAAAAGGCTCAGCGCCTGATTAAAAAAGCGAAACTACAGGGCAAAAGTGCACACGAATCTGTGTGGCTGCATTATCAGCAAACACAGGGAACCAGCGTGAACGAGGGGACTCTCGAAAAGCATGAGTAAGGCTCGCTGGTATTCCGGCGTGCATCTATCAAGTCTATCAAGCAGCATCATTGGTGCACTCACCTGAGCCGTCTTCCACTTGGCAGCGGACGCGAATTTGGAGTACCCGAGGTTGAATCCCAACACCTCGAACACGGCCTGCACTGCGGCTGACAGCACCAGCTGCCAGCACCACAGCAGGGAACACAGATAAACGCCACAACACGGTAGCACATAGCAGGGAGACGAAAGCACACATACATTAAGGCCACCGTTATGGGTCCTTAATGTAAAAAGGTCAATATGCTTAACTTGGCAGCCGAAAGACTGGGAGACGGGCACAGCGGAGCAGAGAAAGTGGAGGCGCCTGAGTCACTGGAAAGGAGGACTAGTTACGAGGCGCCGCGAAGCGCACCTGAATCGCGGTGAAGGCATAAAATGTGGGGAGCAGCGAGAACGGGAAGAGGAACGCCGTCCAACCCGCGGGCAGCAGGGACGGGGGAGACGCGCAGGGGCCAAGAGTCCACGGCACGCTGTACGCAGCGCCGCCGCCGGCGCCTGCACCGGCGAGACGAGGATCGGCCATGACGACAGTTCCGAGCCGCCGACCCTGCCGCGACTAGCACTTGCGTTGGGTCCTTCGCGAACCAATGTGAGGGTTCCTCGGAGCTGACGCTACTAGCACTCGCGTTCGGTCCTGCGCAGACCAGCCTGAGAGCTGCCTCGGAGGTGCTGCCGGCACGACGCGGAGCACGACTCAAAGGAGATTATCGGATTGATCTCCAGTGAACGATGAACGCGACGGCTTCAATCAAGCCATGGCTGCTGGACTTGTACTCTGCCTCGCCATGGCTCACGATCGTTGACTCCGCGCTGCGCCCAACTTGCACTCTCATAGGCCCTCCCATCGCAGAGAACGCGTTTTTTTGGAGCGGCCGAGGCGGCCCGACGAGCCCGATGCATTGCGGTGCGGCGCGGAAGTCAGGACATAGGGAACTCCTTGTGCTGTGAAAGGGGGCACGGGTGGCCTCGTGCGCTGACAGGTGTAGTAACGAACAACCAGGAAAGCTGCTTCTTGTTCTGCTGAGTACAGTAGAATGGCACATGGAAGAGAATTCCAACATGGACTGTTGAATTGGGTGTCACACTATTGATCCCAATTGCTCCTTATTGTGGGTCTTGGCGAATTGGCTGTCTGAATGCATTAGTCAACATAATTGAAGCGCGTCAAGCACCTTATTCAACAACTTGAAGCGCGTCAAGAACCTTATTCTTTCATATGGAAGCTTGCACACAAACACACATACACGCATTGAACCAGGGATCGAAGCGTGGCAACGCGAAACACACAGCCACGACAAAAAAACCAGGCGAGCATCTATACTCTGAAACCAGCGAAATCAGAACCCCTCATGCTACAAAATCTTAGTACCTCTACTCTACAAGCAACGTTGGTGCATAGTGTAGCGCCAGAAAGTTAGGCTGCTTGAGGCTCAGCCTCATGGGACTGGACTCCCACCCAGCGAGCATAGTCCACCCACCTGCCCAGAGGAAGAGGAAGAGGCCACAATTGAGGATCAGGATGAAAATTAACGGTGATGCAAGATGTGCGACAGAGTGGGCTTACAGAAGGGAGCCGAGATATGTGTTGAGGGTCCGAATACAGAAAGAGGCAGCAGACAGGGCGATTTTGTGGTTGCGAAGAAGAGGATCCAGCATGCGCTGCTCAACCACTCCCGCAAGTATTTGATATCTGCACACAATAAGATAAAGAACCACAATTAGGGCTTGTTTGTAAAGGCTGGCAAGATGAATCTGTCAGATCAACAACCAACAAGGAAAACAACCAACAGCAGGACAACAGGAGCAAGAGCGTACCTCAAGTTACTGGAAACAGCCATGTAGGCACCATAGGCCACACTTGTTGCAACTAGAGGAAGCTCTCCTTGGCCCTTCACTACCTCCTTTCCAGTTGCAGCCGCCTCCTTCTTGTTGCCAGCAGCAACCAGGGCATTTGTGACAGCTGTACCAATCTGCACAGAATAGAATTCGTGAGTCGGTCAGTACCCCATGTCACCGGTTCTAGGAACGATTCGAAAGGTCCACTTATTCCTTTCCTCTCGTGGGGCAAAGCATTCTGATGAAACGTGGCACACAGCTAGCACGGAGACGACATTTGAAAAGTTAATCTGTAAGACTCACCAGAGATGACACGGTTCCAACAGCCATCAGCTTCCCACCATTTCTCTGCAGAAGAAAAGAGACAGAAAGTACTTGAGAAACCCTTCTGGGACTTGCCAGTTGCCTGAACTTACTGGGACATTAGGCATTACTGGGACAGTAGGCATTACTGAGGACGGTGAAGGTAGGTACGAAGGCAGCAGAATGGCAAACATCCCATCACAATTCTGCATAAATCTGACCATATAAGTTACGTACCACCACACAGCCTGCCCGCTGCAACAGGTTGTACTTAGCTCCGCCCAGCGCCATCTGGAACGAAAAGACAAAGATCAGATCAAGAGATGAAACCGAGGCGAACCAGGTTTGAGTACAGAGGCCGGCGAGTATTGAAACGACCGTTAATCAAAACGTAGCGCATGCAGACCAGAGTAAGCAAGCACAGGAGTAGACAACTATCAGTCAGCGTTGCTATCATCTCCAACCACACCAGCTGGGGCACCTCAGGAGAGCCCGAGCGTACCTGGAAGGCATTGTCAGGGCAACGCGCGAAGAACGCCGCGATCCTGTTGCCCTTGATGATGGCAGGAGCGCGCAGCGCAATGGTGGGCGCAGGCAGGTAGACCAGCATGAAGTCCGCGAACAGCGCCATGACCTGATGGGGAACGCCGGGAGGGGGCGACGGGATGGGGGGGATGGAGGGGATTGGGGTGGGTTGCAGGAATGAGGCCCAGTAGAAATGGGATGCCAAGCCGCGAAGTTAAGTATGCGTTTCAAATAAGATCTTAGAAGGCACGGCGTTGCGATAACGAGGTCAAGCTTACGAATGACGGAACGACACTCTAGCAAGCGGAATTCGACTTACGATGTCGGCGACCACGAAGTTGATTTCCTTCATGAAGTTCTCCTTTCGGCGATCGTACTCAGCAAGGGTCTGCAACAGTCAGAGGAGCACAGCAACGGAAGAAGGTTATTCGACGATCACGAGGAAACATTGATTGGCGAGGAAAAGGCACCAGAACTCTCGCTAATTCGAGCCCAATGTGGCGCTCACTACTGATCACCATCGCATCATGCCGAAGCAAATGGCTACTGTGAGACAAAACTATTAGGTCCTTAATAAGATTCACAATGCGGTATATCGTGAGAGCAAGGATGCCAGTGTGGATGTATCCACATCAAGAGCAATCGGCCAAGAACAGGAAATTATCAGAAACTGAGCCGAGAACGAGGACAATTTTTCTAATGGATCCGATCTGACATACCTTGGTAAACATTCCGACGCCACACTCGAAGAAGACTTTAAGGAAGAAAAGGTCGTCGGCCAAGAGGCGTTCTTGGAATCCCGACACGCGCACCAGACGCCCCAGGATAGCGGACTTCTCCATCTCGGTAAACCGCTCCATGATCGCGCCGGGGACTCGACCAGCCAAGACTGCATCAGCGAGCTCCTTAGGAATAGACTCGATGCTCTTTCCAAGAGCAGCCAGCACCGCGAGAGAATCGGATCGGTTCCCCTCGTTGTCGCCGCCTCCGCCGCTGTTGCCATCGCCGCCGCCTCCGCCTCCGCCTCCGCCGCCTTTACCGCTTGGTCCGTGTCCGCTGAACGGACCGCCTCCGCCGACCTCGACGAAATTCTCAGAAGCCACCGCTCCCGGTGGAGCGCGTCGCTTGGAGGATTCGGAAGACGGTTGGAACGCGAAGGTGGTGGAGGAGAGGACGTTGTCGTGCGACTCGGCGCCTGAAAGGGCACAGACGAATTTTGGCGAGCTTTTCGGCGAAGCGATAATTGTCACGAGGCGTACTTGTCTGGTGCGCTGACGAAGAGCCACAGACGATTTGGCGGCGCCGAAGCCTGTGTTCAGGGTTAGCTTAGTTGGAATGACTGCCATTGCCTCCATCGAGGCTTGGTTGCTTGTTGATCAAACGCGGATGGTTTAAGGCTTAATAATTAAAGCGCGTAATCCAACGGAGCTAAGCCGGGAAGTCGATTGACCGACGGAAGGAATACCGACAAATTAATAAACTGCTGTTTTCAGCACAAGTGAGTGGGGGTCGTTGGAATAGTGAGAGTGATGTGTGCTGGGCTAGTGCTGACAGTTCTCCGGGTGCTGGTCAGGAGGGCAAAATCGAGGGATGCTGTAGCTAGTCTATGATGCAAGCTCTGCTGGAAAGGGCAGTGAGTCAGTGAAAAATGGGGGGAGATCGATCAAACTCTGATGGCACCGACACAGGTTGGGACAGGACATGTGGAGGGCAAAACATGACGCCCTTTTCTATTCTCCAGCCTGTCACGACTCACCATGGTTTCCCCAAACCGATCATCCCCTGAGAATTCCGCCCCTGCGCGGAGCCCCGCTTTCCACCCTGCGTCATTGAGAATTCCGCCCCGCATCCCGCTCTGCCCCGAGCTTCCCCAAAGAGCAACTAATCGACGCTGTCAGGTGGGCGGTCGATCCAGCCCAGCAATGTTGGAGATGTCGATGACGCACGGGTGGTCCTCCTGGTTGCTCGCCTCGTTGTGTTGGCACGCGCTTCGACGGCTGATTCGTCAACCAGCAAATCGGAGCAGCCTGCTTCTGGGGACGTGTTTGGTTTGGGCTGTGTCAGCGCAAGCTTGGCGGACGCCGATTGGCAGAGACCCTGCGTTCGCCGTGGCGAAGGTCAGAATTTTTTGGGCTATTGGGCAGAATTAAGCTCAGTCTACTGGAGTCAGGAAGGAAGCAAAAAGGTCAAACCCTGCCGGAACTGTGGGCTTTTCAAACCAGAATGTGCGCAATCTGCTACCAACCCCCGGGGTGCGGTCCGCAGATTGTTGCGTGGCGGGTTTTCATTTCACTTTCGATGGGGTTGCGACAATGTGCTGTGCGATTGTTGCGGCAGGGGCATCGAAAGTGGCATGCCTTCATAACAGACGGTTGAAAAACCTCGCGGCGTGCTTGTGCGACTCCAGATTTCGGGGGGTCGCCTGACAAGCGACCTTTGACGACGTTGATTGGGCAAGCAGGTGGGAGGACGATAGGTCAGGGGCGTGATGCTGCGCGAATCGCGATTGATGATGCGATGGAAAGGAAACCTGGGGTTCAAGGGGGAAGATGCGTTGAGCCAAATCGTAGGCATGTCGAGCTGGCGCTATGCTACTTGCCTTGCGGGTCATAAAAGAAGATCTCTCTCAAAGAGCGATAGTGGATTGGACGGGACAGCCGGAGAGCCTAGGACTGGGAGATGCCACATCATTGATTCCTTACTCGGGATTTGATTGGGAGTTCCCAATTTCGCTACACGTCGCCACACCAAGGAAATGGCTGTACAACACGTGTGTAACCGATGTTCTGTAGGTAGTGCCACTCCAACACAAGAGCTGACGAAAGGCCAAGCTGATAGTAGGGTAACCAGTAATGACTTGAGAAAATTTACATAAGTTGGTAGCGGAGGAAACGCGTTTAGACTTCTAAAACAAACTAACAAATAATGCCCTATAGTGATCACAATGATCACAACAGCAATGCAACGATTTTGGACTACTAGTACACTCTGTTTTTTTATGCAAATGTAACCACCTCCACAAAATTGTCACCTTCGCAGACAATATGTATACACAACCTACATATCTTTCCAGAATTCTTCATTTTGCTTGAAAAACTGTCGCACTCTCCTCGGAACTTCTCCAAAGCTTCCGTTGCAAACCACCAGCTGGCGTTTGATCCAGTTTGGCAGCTTCCCAGTGATTCCTTTGCCATCCGTGCGCGCATAACGGGTGTCCACCAAAAGGATGGCAGCATAGTCACGGCTGTGGCGAATGGCTCGTCCTGCCGATAATGGGCCAGACACATGAAAAGGGTGCAAAATTGGAAATCAATACCCCGGGCATAGGGGCCATATATGGAAGAGAGGACAAGGGGAGGAGGGGACGAAGGAATGGGGGGGGCTTGTGGCAACAAGGGATGAATGTAGCCAAGGTAGAGGAATAGGAAGGCGCAAGCAAAGGGAAAAAAATATTTTCCTGGGCGAGTGGAAGCTACTCCTGTGCTTTTTGGAAGTGCACATAACATTGTGCTCCATTTCATGTGTGCACTGCTACTGCATGCTCACCGATGGACTGGTTGACTGCCTTGGCACAGATATCCTCGTACAGCTGCCGTCCTTTAGACCCACACGACCGCAGAGTCGCTGACACAGCAGGCATTCCTTCCCCTCCAGGTGACTCCCCCACTCCTGACATTCCCCCCATGCTGCTGCTGTTGCTGCCATTAGCACTGCCGCCTCCAGCAGTTGCAGCAGCACCGATGGTGCGATTATGATTGCCCCCAAGCCTGTCAATAAATCTCATCCGTTCATTTAGCTCAGGATCCGAGGGGCTGGGGAACGGCTGGCCAACCACCACCACCGCTCTGCCCATATCATCACTGAAATTAATGCCTTCCGACATCTTCCCCCCCACCACACACAGCAGCACCGCGCCACGTGGCGATGCCCGATTGGCCAGCTGCGATTCAATCCCGCTGCTGCCATCCCCTCCCTGCCTTTTCTCTCTAACATCCCCACCCTGTATACCCCCACTCTGGATCTGGTCCCCCCTCCCCTGGATGCACCTCCTGTACTGACCTAGTACAGCCTCCACCTCCGCTGCACTCCTGGGTTCTGTGAACACGCCTCCCTTGCGTGCCTGCAGCATGGAGAGCACGCCCCCCCCTGCGCCTGCCTGCCACGCAGAGAGGACCTCCTGCAGGTAGCCGAAGGAGGGGAAAAAGACGACCACGCCGCCCGGCACCACAGTGCACACGTTCACAAGCAGGCGGCCGAGCTCTGCGATCTGAGGGCAGGGGAGTGGGGGAGGGTGGGTGCGTTACAGGGTACGGATGGGATAATCATGACACTGCAAATGACAATGACAATGATAATGATAATGAGTGTGATGATTGCAATGATATAGAGAAAGGCAAACGTCCCCTATGGTTGCCCCTCTCTCACCAGGCCTGGGTCGCTGCGTGACTGGAAAGTGAAGTCGAGGTCCTTCCCCGAGGGCCCCTTGGCGATGGCGAGGGGCAGCACGCTGTCCCCCTGCACGATGTGCCCGCACGAGAACACGCTCAGGCGGTGGGTGGGCAGCATGGGGAACAGCTGGTCCAGCATGGTGTCCAGGGGCTGGAGGGTGCCGCCTGCCAGGATGATGGCCCGCGCTGATGTCAGCAACTGAGAGGGGTGGGGGTGGGGTGGGGGTGGAGGGAGGTAGGATGGGGGTGGAGGGAGTTTGGGGAGAGGAAGCATTGGGAACTCGGAGTATGGAGAGGGCGGAGAAGAGCTGGTCCAGCAAGGCGCGCAAGGGGTGGGAGGGTGCTGCGTGCTGCTAGGATGATGGCACACGCTGGTGCTAGGAGCTGGTGGCACTGATACCGTGTTGAGCCTCACATACAGACCATGACAGCACGTATCCTTACCCCCGGAAACTCCCAATCCCATCCCCCTGTCCTGCCTTATCTCCTCCCTCTCGATATGTCCTCTTACTTCCTCCATATGCTGTGCCGTGTTGAGCATCACGAACTTGACAAATGCCCCTCCACCACCCTCCTCCCCTTGCTCCTCCTCCTCCCCCCCGATACCACCCTCCCCCTCCCTTTCCCTGGTCCCTGCGGGAGATTTAGAGGCAGAAACCCGCCCGCTGGCATGGCTATGAGTGGCACGCTGGGTGCTGTGGCTGCTGTGATTGGTAGGAGTACTTTGATTTGCAGGATGGGAAGGGGTGGGAGCGGGCGACAGCAGCACTCGGCCGTCCTGGTTGGCGTTGCAGAGCGAGGAGAAGAACTCGGCAAAGGCACGGAAGGCAGTCACGCCCACGCTGTGCTGGGACGGCTGAGGGGTGGAGGTGGAGGAGGAGGGGGCGGTTGTGGTGGTGTTGGGATTGTGTGTTGTCTTGAGTAGGACCGACTCGCCATAGGAGCTGATCTGTTTCGAGTCAGGGAGGGGACGGAATGGGAGGGACAGGGGGGAATGAGAGGTAAGGGGGGCTAAGTATCGGAGAGAGGAAGTGAAAGGAGAGAGAGAATGAGACCGAGATGGGGAGGTGGGTGGGAATGTGGGAGGGGAAGGGGGGCAGTAGTGGGGAGTCGAGTCGTGCAGGGAAGGGTTATGCAGACTCAGATGATATCACCTAGATATACCCAGCCCGCATCACCTTGTGCGCGATGTTGGATGCCTGCACGTAGTGGTGCAGCTTGAAGAGGTTGATGTTGTCCACATCCAGGGAGAAGAGAAACTCGTCTATACCCTGCACGCCTGTAGGCCAGAGGAGGGACAGAGGAAAGAGCAAACGAAGGAGGTAAGAAAGGCTGCAGCACGTAGCGCAACTTTCCAGACTCAAGGGGGGGGGGAGAGCAGCCAACACCGGCGATCACAGCAGCAACGCCCTTTGCCACCACCTGCAGCTACAGCTGCAGCAGGTAGCGCCAGTTGCAGTCCCGAGAGGGGGAAAAGAGCAGCCAACACAAAGCCAGGCTATGCAATGCAACAGCTCACTCACGGGGCTGCTTGGCGCCAGCGATCACAGCAGCGACGCCCTTCGCCACCACCTGCAGCTGCAGCACGTAGCGCCGGTTCCCCGCGCCCAAGCGGTACCTGAAGCGCTCCAGGTACCCCGCCAGCTGCGCCTGCACCAGGTGCACCTGGCGCAGCGACAGGCGGCAGCTGTGCATGGCGGCAAGGGCGTCCGTGAGATTGTGAGCCTCGTCTACCACCACCACGCTGTTGCTTAAAGCCCCACCACTGCTGCTGCTGCTGCTGCTGCTGCTGCTGCTGCTGGGGGTCGCACCAGCTGAAGCTAATCTCCCTTCTATTCGTGCGGAATAGTCACCGCCTCCCGCTCCTCCTGTTGCTCCTGCACCTCCACAGCTGGTGGTCGATGCTTTGTCCCCTGCCCCCAGCAGCGCTTCTCTAGCGCCCTTGTGCAGTAGGGATTGGTACGGTAGCACCACCACGTCTGCTGCCCGTGCTGCTGCCCGTGCCGCGTAATATGGGCAGGTCTCCAGGCTGTTGGGGCGTGAGGGTGGGCAGGTTGAAACAAAGAATTGGCTCGTGGAAACGGAAAAGAAGGTAACAATGAGCAGGAAGGACAAAAAAAGGGCCAGGAAAGGAGAGAAAATGGAGGGCAGACGAGAAGACGCAGATCACTTCAAATGCGCAGCATACAAGGGCAGATAGCCAAGCCTGGCAGACCCACCGTGAGCCCAGTCTTCCAAGGTCCTCTATGTCTGCCGGTGGGGCTGCCATGAGGTGCTGCAGGAACTGTTGCTGCCGCTGCTGCTTGCCCCAGTAGGGGCAGCCACACGTGGATGAGGACGCAGATGGGGATGCACGCGACCGGCCCTTGGCTGCTGGGTCCTGGAGCAAGGGGGTGGGAGGGAAGCATGCATTGTGGAAAAAAAGATCGTTGACGGAAGAAAACACCTGAGCAGGGGTTTGGACAGGCAGTGTGGGGTTCCGAATCCGGGCGTTTTAGGCTACGTGGCACATGATTGGCGCAGCATGCAGACACATGCAGACACATGCAGACACATGCAGGCACATGCAGGCAGATGCAGACACATGCAGACACACGCAGACACACGCAGGCACACGCAGGCACACGCAGGCACACGCAGGCACACGCATGCACACGCAGGCACACGCAGGCACACGCAGGCACACGCAGGCACACGCAGGCACATGCAGGCACATGCAGGAACATGCAGGAACACACACAACACGAGGAGCTGAGGCACGTGAGTGGAGAAAACGGAGCAAGTGGGCGAAAGTAGGAAAGCGAGAGTGAGAGCAACGCCACAGAATCTGCAGAGGCGAAGGACAATAACCACGCAAAATGAAGCACCTGAGCTTGTCGGTTCTTCTTGCTCTTCCTCTCTGCCGCCGCACGCTGCAACTCCAAGCAGCGCTCGCTGATGGCACTCGCACTGCCCAGCTTCAACACCGCTGCGTGCCACCGACCAAACGACAGGGCGGTCAGGGAAGGTGATACAGGTGAAGTGACGGTGAGATATAAGGCAAAGGTAACGGACAGGTAGAGGAAAGGTGGGGCGCAAACGTTCATGAGCACACTGGTGCACACAGTGCAAAGGACGTACACTGGTTGATGCAGAGGTTCTTGCGCGACGCGAGGGCCACGGTGAATAGCTGGTCGGCAAAGGGCGTCCGGCGCAGCTCAGAGACGAACTGGGACAGCTGCAATGGAGGGGGGAGGGGGGGGCGAGGGGGCCGGGGGGGGCGGGGGGGGGTGGGAAGTGCTGATCGCAGAGTGGGACGATCGCGAGGTGCTGATGGCGAACTGCTAATCACACCGTGTTGGAAAGGCAGGTGCTTAAAAGTGCTGCTGATATATTGTCGCTGAGATTGCTGTTGGCTCTAGCCACTCAAACCACCGGTTCCTTCTCGAATCCCGTCCTCCCCTTCTTCCCTTCAATCCCTCTCTCCCTTTCCATGTGCCAGTTGCAAGCACCGGGGAATGCGTTTTATTTACACCTAAAGTTAGCACTCTGCGTCCTCAGCACACCTGGGAGTGCGTGCGGCTGCAGAAGAACACCTTCAGCGACTCCTCTGCTAGGGCCTCTGCTCCATCCGTGCCTGCCATGCGCGCCACACCAACAGCACCGCCACCCCTGTCGTCGTCACTGCTGCTGTCACTGCCGCCTGCTGCTGCCCTGGCACGAATTCGCTTCCTCCGTCCCCGCCCATTGCCACCACCATCATCGTCATCATCACTCTCCCATTCCGGTACCAAAAACCGCTCTTCCTCCTCCTCCTCCCTCCCTTTTCCCCCAGTCCCCCCGACCTGCACCTCATCTCCCTTCTTTCGCCCAGTCCCCTTCCCCGCCACCCCTCGCCCCCACCAAGCCTGAGAATCTTGCCCGCCTCTCTGCACCTGCACATGCTGCCACCTAATGCCGCCCGGCCCAAGCACGTCCTTGCTAGCAGCCTCTCTCTCCCGCCTGCGACGCTCCAGCCGCTGCTGCCGCTGCGCGCACACCCTAGCAGCCTCCTCCCTCTCCTTGGCCCCCTCGTAGTCCCTCAACCAGTCGGGCTCGCAGTCGTCAGAGTCCTGATTGCGGCCGGCACGGTCTTTAGTAGTCGCTTGGAGAGGCGTAACGGATGGAGTTAGCAGAGCAGGTTGCGCCTCTTTATTGCCGGCATGCTGGGCCTGCGGGGCGGGGTGGAAACAGAGGGGAGGAGGGAGGAATGGGTAGCGAGGAGACGCGCGGAAAGAGAAACGAGCAGTGACAACGCAGTCATCAACGACTTCTGGCCTACCAGCTTCCAGAATAATCCACCAGCGATGAGATTGTTTCAGGTGCTAGCGAAGTGCGGCGACGAGTCGCCTTGAAGCAGTGTGAGATCTGCGACTAAGTGCCATACCTGTCGCTGGTGCTCGTCCAGCAGCCACTGGAGCACGCTGCAGATGAGACTGAGGGTCTTGCCTGTACCTGCGCCACACGGAAAAACGGACTAAAGAACGGTCAGAGAAGGCTATTCCGGACCAGAAACGAACTATTCGCTAAGCTGTTACTAATCCGATTAGGGTTTAGGAGGAGCCCTCCTCCTCGAAAATAAGATCGCAGCTGCTGGATCCTTTCAAACGATCGACGCGTTCAGATGGCCCTCACGTCCCGAGACATCCAACGCTCTTCCAGCGACGATCGCGAGTGAGATAACACGTATGAGAAGGCATATGACGACCCTACAGAATGCTCTACCAGAAGACGAGACGGACCTGTGGGGCTCTCCATGATGCCAACCTGGCCGCGTTCCACGGCGGCATACACGGCGCGCATCAGCTGCACCTGGATGTCGTACGGCTTCTCGTACGGAAACGACGGGAACTCCGCCCTAATTGGGGTCGTCCCCTCGGAATAGCCGGTGCTGTGGTCCGCGGGCCTGGAAACAGCCGACATGGGGACAGACTTCCCAGGTCGTCGCGACGCTTAGGAGAGATAAGCGGCGGCAAAGCGACGCACGGGAGGCGTTATCTTCGAGCGTTGTTGCTGTTGAAAATGAATTAGGCAGAGAAACTTGGGCTGCGATTGCTCCTGGCATGCAACAAGCAGAACCCAGTAGCCCAAGGTGCCTGTCTCGTAATATTGAAAATCAAGCTGGTGGTGGCGGCATTTTAGGAGGTGGAGAACGATCAGGCCTGTTCCCTCAGGTGTTGCCGTGGCGGCAATTCCCAAGGCGCGAATTCAAACGAGCAAAATTGGAGGGAAAGCGATAACAGGCAAAGTGAGTGAGGGAGTGGATCCTAGGGTTGCGCGAGCCAGAATTGCTCAACTGGTTGCAGTTTTGTTTTTTTTGGCCAGAGAAAAGTCCGCGAAGAAACGTCGGAATGTTTGCGAAACGCGTAACCAGACCAGATTGCACAACTCAGTCGGATTGCGCGAAGGTTGTTCTACACCTCCGAAAGAAAGGACAGCTAAGTAAAATGCCTCGCAACGAAAGGAAGTGTCTGAAGTTTCCAAATGGTTCAGTTCGTACGGGGTATGAAAACCGACTTTCCACGTGATATCCTCACGCCAAGGCTGTGATTGATGGTCGACGTGACGGTGAGGTGGCAGGCATTTCACATCTCAGCCTTCCCGCACTGCCCGGTGCCCACCATCTAGTGTTTTTGCTGCCCTTCCGCAGCAATCTCGGGGGAAGCCATTTCTGCAGGGCAGTTTTATGAGCTGCCGCTGCGGGCGTCAAAATTAAATATAGTTCTAGTTCATGCACTATTACTACTGTACAGTTTTACAGCTACCCCTTACTGTAGAGACCTGTTGGCAGCGTGGCACTCATTTTTGTACCTCGCGCAAGACTCGCTTGTTGGCAGCGCGGCTGCTTACTCACCGTCGCGTCAGGACGCGATGCGCAAGAGCCATGTCATCGCGGCCCCCCTCCCAATGCCCTTTTCTTGTCGGCCTCCTCGCCGCGTCGCCTCGAAATCTCCTACGAGGCGACGAGGAGGGGCTTAGCCTTGATATAGATCAAGACTGCTGGGAGGGAGAGTGCGAGTTGAAAGAATATCCAAGACGCGAACAAGCTTATCACAGCACCACTAGCTGCTCCTCCTGAACGAAACAGAGAGAGTACTCTCGTCTCGCCTGACTCTATCCTACATGGAAGAAATCGCTCCGACGACTATGGAGGTGAGTAACCACTTCATGCCGCGAGAAGCGGAGTGGCGAGTGAGCAAAAGCGGCGCTTCGGATTCCCACAAAGCGCATCTCAATCTCCACTTCCCACAGAATAGTACGCTCACTCTCGCCGTTCTGTCGCGCCATACCATTCCCCATAACACCCGGCGCATCCACGTGGCATGCGCAGGCGGCGGCACCGCCTCAACTCACCCTGAAAGTAGCGGTGGCCGTGGACGGCAGCGACAACAGCATGGACGCGCTGCGCACCGCCGTGCGGCTCTTAGCCGGCGCTGCCTCTGAGCTGCACATCCTCCACGCGCGCCGCGCCGTCGATGGTGCGCCTCTCCTCCTCGCCTTCTCCACATATGCAGGGCCGTTGTTGATTTCCCTCGTTGTAAGACCCAACCCACCTCCCCCGCACCAACTTCTTTCTCCCCCAGCCCAGCCTCACACCCCCCCTCGCACGTCCCTCCCCTAACTCCTTCCCCTTCCCCCCGCTTCCCCCACCACCCCGCCCGTTCCCCCCTTCCCCCCTCCACCCCCCCCCCCCAGAGTTCCGCATGGACTCCCTATTCGCATGGCGCGACCACTTGAAGCGCATGGACGGGCAAGCACACAGCAAGGCCCAGGCGCTGCTGGAGCGGTGCTGTGCGGTGGCGGAGGAGGAACGTGGGCTCAGGGGTATCCCCCCTGGACGCATGGAGGTTAAGGGGGTAGAGCTGAAGGGTGACCCTCGTGACACTCTGCCGGGCAAAGTGAAGGAGTTGGGCGTCAACATGCTGGTGATGGGGTCCCGAGGGAATGGCCTGCTGAAAAGGTGCGCGGGATGGATCATGGGGGTGCCATGGAGTGCGGTTATGGTGGGATGAGATGGTGCGCGGTCCGAAGAAGTGTATAGAAACTGCATGATTTGAGAATTCGAGCGTAGATTCTGTAGTTGTAACTATGCTGCGGAGGTTCGATTCGCTTTGTGAATGTCCAGTCAGTAAGGGAAAGTGTGGGACATGGATTTTCTTCCCTCCTGATTGAGTTTTACCTCGTCGTGGCCCTGTTCTCTCATTGTGACCATGTGCAGGATTACTATGGGGAGTGTGTCCACGCATTGCATGCATCATGCTTCCTGCCCCGTCCTCATCATCCCCCCAGTCAAGGCCAATCCTACCACGCCTCCTGCCAAGGAGAAAGGGGTGGTGGAGAAACCATTGGTGGAGAAGGTGGAGGAGCAGAAGCCAGAGGAGAAAGAAATGGAAGAAAAAAAAGTGGAAGAGGTACAGGCACCTGAAGAGAATCTGCCTGTGGATGCGCCAGAAGTGCCAGCTTCTACTGAGGGTGCATCCGAAAAGCTTGCAGCTGCACCAGCAGTAGATGCTACTGGAAATGATGTTCCTGGGGCCTTGGCGAGTGGTGCGTGAGTAAGTTTTCAAGGATATAGTCTGTACATAGAGTGAAATAATGGGTTCCTGCTTATTTCGGAAATCGTGTATAGATGTTCATATGTACTTGTTGGCTACATGTAATAAGATGGGGAGCTAAAATGGTTTTTATGGATATTTCTCGTTTTTTAGAGATTCCGAATGGCATCAATAGGTTTGGCTTAGGGTGCAGTGTTGTTCGTCTAGGGGACGAGGAAGCTCCAAGCGAGAAATTACGGGGTGCCTCCAGCCAAACCAGTGTCTGCAGTAGGTGAGGTGGTCCGCTCCGCTCCCTTTCCCCATCTCAGACAGGAATGTGCTGCTTTATGTCACGTGGTTACAGTGTGTTTGACGCGGCATTGACGAAGCTCATTCCCTGAAAACGAGTCAGCAGCATGCCGTGCCATACTATGTGCTGTCCCATTGTTTGTCGCTTTGCTGCACTGGCCTCACAGAACCTCGAGTGCAGGAATGGGGGGGGGAACCTGAGCTGACTGGCTGACAGGACATGCCCTGCCCATCCAATGTGTTTCCATCAATTTCATCGTGAATCGGGTCGCGTTGCCACGGCGGTTCCCGTCATCACACATGGCGCACAGCAAACCAGCTCGCACTGTTGTGGCGACGATGACGACCATCGCACCCAGTCTTCACGATGGGTGGATAAGTGCAATGCGACACGAACAGGGAGCATTGGCGGCAATGTTGTGCGTCGCTCGCACCGCACGCTGGAATACAGAGCATCTTTCCCAGGGCGTCGCGTGGGTTGCGATCTTTCTGCCTCGCATGCCTCGTCGCATGCGTGACGTCGGCTTGCCCTTGGTTGATGTGAAACCCACCCCCAAGTCACACACTTGAAGGCAGGAAATGCGGGTTCGGAGATTCGGGGCTCCTGGTTTGGGTGCGTATACAGTAAGATGCAGAACGGTGGCTTCTGTTCTTGAACGTGACGTAGCGGTAACGTTCGGTGAGTTGACGTCATACAGTATATGGATAATGTGCCGTGTGGTCCTGTCAGCAACAACAACAACAACAACAAAAAACAAAAACAAAACGGCGCCAATTTTGGTGTTGCCACACCCTAGACTGCTGTGCACGGTCTCATATGTTCCTCTATGCTTTCCTTGCAACAAATGCTCACGACAACCTTATCCTAATCGCAGGACCTACTCAGAGTAGCTCCATCTCTCTATGATCTAGATAAGCCCCGTTCTCATTATTCCTCGTGTCGTTTAATCTCTTCGATTCTTTTCTTTGCTCGCAAACGAGCAAACTCGCCATAGCACCGTCTATATCGCACAGCCGCCATGGACGAGCGAGCCGCCAGTCAGGTGCGCTTCCCGCGCGCGGCTGGATCATGCTCGCGCGCTCGCTTCCCCTTAGGCCCTCTTTTCCAGCTGTCCTCGCTATGGAGTCGCTCCGCTGTGAGCCAGTGCGCGTCGTTGAATCTTTCCACCACCGTTGACGCCGTAAGTGGCCCTGACGTAAGGTCCTGGTCTTTACTTTTAAATCGCGGCAACCAGCGGGCAAATCCACGTCGCTTAATAACCTGCATCCGTCACACCGACCCCTCTGTCATGGCTCCTTTCTGTTCCGAGGGTGTGTATTCAACGCTTGTGCCTGAACGCTTTCCCTGCCTTGGCGACAAGCTCGGGGCGCCGAGTCCCGGATACCCTGGGACGAAAAAATGTTCAAGAAAGAAAATAAAAATATATTCAAAAGTTTTATCCCCGATTCTCCGCGTCTTGCGTTGCGCGTGCAGCAGAAGCCGATAAAGGTGGCGGTGGCGGTGGACGGCAGCGAGAACAGCATCGAGGCGCTGCGAGCCGCCATCCGCATGTTCGGACCCACGGCTAAGGAGATCCATATCGTTCACGCCAGACGCCCGTTCGACCATGGTACGGCCATTCCCAACTGTTCTACACATGTCCCCGTCATCATCAACGTCCCTCTTTTCTCTGGATCCTTCTTTTTCTCTAACTCACACTTTCCCTTCATCCCCTCCCCCTCCCCCCCCCCCCTCCCCGCCCCCACAACCCCCGCCATCCATCCCCCTCTTCTTCCCCTCTCGTTCCGTCTTCCCCCGTTCCCCGTGCAGATTTCGACGTGGAGAATCCGCCGCTGTGGCAGCAGCCCTTCCAGCGCATGGAGCGCCAGTCGCGCGCGGACTCGCGCGCGCTGCTCGGCATCTGCTGCCAGATGGCCGCGCAGGAGACGCAGCGCGTGCGCCAGGCGCACGACGGGCCCGCGGAGAACGGCGCGGGGGTGGCGGGTGCAGGGAGCGCCGCAGAGGGCGGGGCCAATGGCGGCAGCGCCAGTAGCAGTCCGGGCAGCAGTCCCGGGCACAGCGCGGAAAGCAGCCCTACCGCCAGCGGGGGACGCAGGGTGATAGTAGAAGCGGCTAGTCTGGGGGTAGGGGGGCTGGAGGTTAAAGGCGTGGAGTTACGAGGCGACCCGCGCGACGTGATCAGTAACTACTCGAGACGCGTGGGCGCGGATATGCTGGTGATGGGATCGCGAGGAAACAGCATGCTGAAGAGGTGAGCGCGTGGCGTGTGTGTGGGCAGATGGGGAGAGGAAGAAAAGATTGGGTATGGTGAGGATGGGGGCTGTTAAGGAGCTAGGCGGTTAGGGGAAGAGGAGGGGGTGATTGAGGGCAAGGAGAGCGGAGAGCAGGTAGCGGCCTTGAAGGATCTGGAGGAAGGAAATGTGAGCGGCCTTTGAAAGGACCTAACTCGTGTGGTCGCATGCATGGCATGGTGCAGCGAGTCTATTGGCATCGCGCTGGTAGTACTGGAGCATATAATGCCACATGCTGCATGCTGGCCCATGGTGCATGCTGTATGCTGGCCCAGTCCATGCAGTATGCACGCCCCTCCCTCGGCAGCTTCACGACACAGCATTCCTTCCATCATGCCTCGCCTCTCACGAGCTTTCCAGTGCATGCATCATCTGACCGCCTCCCCACATCCCCAACACACGTGTCCAATCTGCCAAGATTTTCTTCCTTTCCCTGCTCCCCCACCCAGCAGCCACACCTTTTCCTCATTGCCAATGCCCCCTTCCGCCCCCCTCCCCTGCTCCCCAGGTTCCCCATGGGCAGTGTGAGCAACTACTGCATGCGCAACGCTGCCTGCCCCGTGCTCATAGTCCCAGCGCCACACACAGGCGCCACTTGCCCCCCTGCCTCCCTGCCATCCATGCAGCCTGCGCAGTCCGCTGCTGCTGCCGCTGCTGTGGCCGCTGCAGCTGCTGCTGCGGCAGCAGAAATGCCGTGAGCAGGAAGGAAGAGGGGTCCCGTGGGGGTTGATGGTGTTGCTGCCTTGCTTGCCTTGTTGTTTGGGGTTTGGGTAGGAGGATCAGCAGCAAAGCTGGAGATCCATACAATTTTGGTACTGTAGATGCGTAGTGTAGGTTTGGGTGTACAGTAATGGGGGATGGGTGGGGTGGGGGAGTCTAGGGGGGTGTGGTTGCGCTCATGTATTATGAGGAAATGGTGAGTGCATGGATGTGGATTAGTGATTTATGCTTGGTGAGGGAGGGTGTAGGAGGGGCTCTGCAAGACAGATTATGCACCATCGTTCCTTCAATAGCCACTTGAATGGTGTTACGGAAATATTACTACAATTAGAGGTGCTCATTTGTAGATGGACGTGTTTGTTCTTGAAACATCGTAATCATGGAGACTAGGTGTAAATTCTATACAGTCGTGTACATTGACAAGGAGCTGCAATAAAGAGTACGACGACACGCACGACATTGGTTCGTGAATCCCACTTTTCGCCCAATCAATCGCACATTTCGCCCCTGCAAGCAAGCCATTCCAAGCCGAATCTAAATTGCAATTCCAGAATTCCCAACGGTATTCAGAACATTGTTTCTCTAGTCATCCTCCTCTCTCGTTCCACACTCCTCTCCCTTCCCCCCTCGTGTTTCGCCTCTGCTAATCTCCTTCCACTCGTCCCCTACCGCGCGTGGATCCCTCTCATGGCGGACGCCGCCAAACCACTACCGTCTGACGGAAAGGAAGGCAGCAACGGCGGCGAGGCGAACATCGCGGCGTGGCTGTACGGCGTGGAGGACATTCGGCTGCTGCCCGCGCCTACTGCCCCGGAACTAGGTACGCGAGCACACCTTTTGTGCAGGAGAGGAAACGACAAGGGGTAACGGGCGTTGAAAGGGCCACGGGCAACGGAATGGGGCCGATAGTTGTCACGAGTGAGGGGATTTACTGTATATTATTGCTTCCAACAAGTTGAGTTAATCGACGCAGTCTCTTATCACGGGCTTGAAGTGCTAGGGTTTGGGGTGAACGCGTCGCAGTCATCTGTGGCTGATCATTATTTCCCCTCCCGCGCCGCTTCCCTGTGGGTGCCATCGTGTGGCAACGTGTGGCATCGTGTGGCATCGTGTGGCATTGTGTGGCATCGAGTGGCATCGAGTGGCATCGTGTGGCATCGAGTGGCATCGTCTGGCATCGAGTGGCATCGTGTGGCATCGTGTGGCATCGAGTGGCATCGAGTGGCATCGTGTGGCATCGTGTGGCATCGTGTGGCATCGAGTGGCATCGTGTGGCATCGTGTGGCATCATGTGGCATCGTGTGGCATCGTGTGGCATCGTGTGGCATCGTGTGGCATCGTGTGGCATCGTGTGGCAGGGCCTCACGACGTGCGGGTGCGCGTGAAGGCGGTGGGGATATGCGGCAGCGACGTGCACTTCTACAAGGTGCGCTGTGACTCTAACACATGCCTCTGAAGGGATGGGATTGTATCAGGTTGGAGCGGTGATGGTTCAAGGTGCACTACTACGAGGTCAATGTGACTGTAACGCATGGATGTAGCACTGTCACTCAAACCCGTCACTTCTCTTTCTCCCCCCCATCTCTCTGGGCCACGAGAGCGCCGGCGCCACGCTGCAAGTGGGCTCTGCCGTCTGTCAAACCCACCTCTTGCCTTCCCTCCTCCCCCCCCCCACCAACACCAGCACATGCGCATAGCAGACTTTGTAGTCCGCGCCCCCATGATCATTGGTCATGAGAGCGCCGGCGTCGTGCTGGAAGTGGGCGCCGCTGTCACGCGCTGCCAGCCTGGGGACGCAGTGGCCATGGAGCCAGGCCGCGGGTGCCTCGCTACAGCTGCTGCGTGCGCGCACTGCGCCGGGGGGCAGGGCCGCTACAACCTGTGCCGTGACATGCAGTTTTTTGCCACGCCGCCCGTGCATGGATCGCTGGCCAATGAGGTGAGGCAGGGTGGGGGCCAGGGCCCAAAATTGGTTTTAGGCCACTCTTTGAGATCAGAGTAGGAAAAAAAAAATGCCCTGACGGTCAGAGCTAAAAAAATTCTAAGTCTGATTTGGCAGGGTAAAAAAATTCGAAGTCTTTGCTTCAAGTGTAGAACTCTTTGCACCCTTTCTAGCCTTGGCCATTTAAGGAACATTTTACATGAATGAAGTGGGCTGCACTGAGGTGTGGAAAGAAGGGTGTAGCGGATTTGCGCGTGCTGGGGGAGATTGGGGGATGGGATGGGACGGAAAACGATTCTGGGGCGCGAGAGGGGAATCAGATTTACATGGGCGGCAGAGGGGCGGGAAAAAAACCATCTGCTCGTGATTGGTTGGGTGTCAGAAGGGCGTATACGACGTGACGTGTCTTGCTGTGGTGTGGAGGACTTAGCGAAAAAAAAAAAAAAAGTAGCGGGGGTGTGGTTGGGAGGCATGTCTCTTGTGGGGGACTTAGCCATTTCTGGGTTGCGAGGGGGTGAGGGAGCTATGACTCTGGCTACGACTTAGCCGAAATTGCTGGCTTGCATGGTGCGTGGGGTGGGAGGAATGACTCTGGCTGCCAGGGACTTCGTCGAAATTTTTGGTTGCAGGGTGTTTTGGGGGAAATGTTTCTGGCCGCCAAGGACTTAGTCGGAATCTCGGAGTTTCGATACCAGGGTAGTTTTCAGGACGCCCTGAAGGGTCAGGGTTCGGGGCCCCGCAACCCTAGTTTCGGCAGGGTAATATTTTCGTAACACTTTTTGGATCAGGGTAATAAATTTCGTAAGTCTGATTTTTAAGACCAAATGAAAAAATGCCCTGAAAAATCAGGGCAATCAGGGCATTTTACCCGGCTAATTTGAGCCCTGGTGGGGGCTCAGGGGGGGGGGGTGGGGCGGCAGGGCATGGGGGACCTTACTACAGCCATTGCTAAAGCCGTCATTACAGCTGTCGCTACAGCCGCTGTGTCCCATTCCACAGTTAGCTGCTCTGGCCCTACAATCAGTCCTTCCCGACTCAGCTGCCTCATCTAAGCCCCCTATCACTCTTTCACCCCTATCCTGCGTAACCCCCCTTACCTTCCTCCCATCTCACCCTCCCCCAACCCCCCCCAGGTGTTCCACCCCTCTTCTTCCCGCTGCCCCCCTCCGTCTCTCTTGAGGAAGGCGCTATGTGCACGCCTCTCAGCGTGGCCGCTTGTGCTTACTAAATTCCTCCCCCCACACACTCCCCACAACCCCTCTCAGGTGATCCACCCTGACTTCCTGTGCTTCCCCCTGCCCCCCTCCGTGTCTCTCGAGGAGGGTGCCATGTGCGAGCCTCTCAGCGTGGCTGTGCACGCCTGCCGCCGCGCCCTCGCCCCCGGCCCCGCCCTCCTCCCCTTCACACACCCCTCCGACTCCCCCTCACCCTCGCCCTTCGCCTCGGAGCCGTCTCTGTCCGGTCTGCATGTAGCAGTGGTGGGGGCGGGGCCCATAGGGCTGCTAGTGGCGATGACCGCACGGGCGTTGGGTGCAACTGCTGTTGCTATAGCGGATGTTAGTGCCGAGAGAGTGGGGTTTGCACAGGAGGTGCTGGGTGGGGGGGAGGAGAAGGGGAGTGGAGGGGGGTGTGGATTCAAAGTGCTGCAGATGGAAGCTGGTGCCACGGTGAGTCGTGTTGAGGAGTGTATTCAGTTATATGAAGCATGTGGTCCTTGCAGATGGCAGCAGGCACCATTGTGAGTAGGGCTATTTCCCCATGCAGATGCAGTGTCCCGCCACTGGGCGTTGGGCGATCTTGGGCGTTGGGCGATCTTGGGTGTTGGGCGATCTTGGTCGTTGGGCGATCTTGGTTGTTGGGCGACCTTGGCCGTTGGGCGATCTTGGACGTTGGGCGATCTTGGGCGTTGGGCGATCTTGGTTGTTGGGTGATCTTGGTCGTTGGGCGATCTTGGGCGTTGGGCGATCTTGGGCGTTGGGCTATCTTGGGCGTTGGGCAATCTTGGTTGTTGGGCGATCTTGGGCGTTGGGCAATCTTGGTTGTTGGGCGATCTTGGGCGTTGGGCGAACTTGGGCGTTGGGCGATCTTGGGCGATGGGCGATCTTGGGCGTTGGGCGATCTTGGTTGTTGGGCGATCTTGGGTGTTGGGCGATCATGGGCGTTGGGCGATCTTGGTCGTTTGGCGATCTTGGTCCTTGGGCGAGCTTGGGCGTTGGGCGATCTTGGGCGTTGGCGATCTTGGGCGTTGGGCGAGCTTGGGCGTTGGGCGAACTTGGGCGTTGGGCAATCTTGGTTGTTGGGTGATCTTGGTCGTTGGGCGATCTTGGGCGTTGGGCGATCTTGGGCGTTGGGCGATCTTGGGCGTTGGGCGATCTTGGTTGTTGGGCGATCTTGGGTGTTGGGCGATCATGGGCGTTGGGCGATCTTGGTCGTTTGGCGATCTTGGTCCTTGGGCGAGCTTGGGCGTTGGGCGATCTTGGGCGTTGGGCGATCTTGGGCGTTTGGCGATCTTGGGCATTGGGCGATCTTGGGCGTTGGGCGATCTTGGGCGTTGGCGATCTTGGGCGTTGGGCGATCTTGGGCGTTGGGCGAACTTGGGCGTTGGGCGATCTTGAGCGTTGGGCGATCTTGGGCGTTGGGCGAACTTGGGCGTTGGGCGATCTTGGGCGTTGGGCGATCTTGGGCGTTGGGCGATCTTGGTCGTTGGGCGATCTTGGTCGTTGGGCCATTTTGGGCGTTAGGCGATCTTGGGCGTTGGGTGATCTTGGTCGTTGGGCGATCTTGGGCGTTGGGCGATCTTGGGCGTTGGGCGATCTTGGGCGCTGGGCGATCTTGGTCGTTGGGTGATCTTGGTAGTTGGGCGATCTTGGTCGTTGGGCGATCTTGGTCGTTGGGCGAACTTGGGCGTTGGGCGACCTTGGGCGTTGGACGATCTTGGGCGTTGGATCTTGGACGTTGGGCGATCTTGGGCGTTGGGCGATCTTGGGCGTTGGGCGATCTTGGTCGTTGGGCGATCTTGCGCGTTCGGCGATCTTGGGCGTTGGGCGATCTTGATCGTTGGGTGATCTTGGTCGTTGGGCGATCTTGGGCGTGGGGCGATCTTGGGCGTCGGGCGATCTTGGTGGTCTGGAGATCCTGGTCGTCGGGCGATCTTGGTGGGCGGGCTATCTTGGTCGTCGGGCGATCTTGGGCGTTGGCCGATCTTGGGCGTTGGGCGATCTTGGGCGTTGAGCGATCTTGGGCGTTGGGCGATCTTGTTCGTTGGGCAATCTTGGTCGTTGGGCGATCTTGGTCGTTGGGCGATCTTGGTCGTTGGGCGATCTTGGTCGTTGGGCGATCTTGTGCGTTGGGCGATCTTTGGCGTTGGGCGATCTTGGGCGTTGGGCGATCTTGGTCGTTGGGCGATCTTGGGCGGTGGGCGATCTTGGTCATTGGGCGATCTTGGTCATTGGGCAATCTTGGGCGTTGGGTGGTCTTGGGCGTTGGGCGGTCTTGGGCGTTGGGTGATCTTGGTCGTTGGGCGATCTAGGGCGTTGGGCGATCTTGGTCGTTGGGCGATCTTGGTTGTTGGGCGATCTTGGTCATTGGGCGATCTTGGGCAGATGGCAGCAGGTACCATTGTGAGTAGGGCTGTCTCCCTCCACTGTCCCTCTTTCCAACTCTCCCTGTTTTCCTCCTCCCCCCCTCCCCCCACTTTCAGCCTGAAGCCAACGCCGCTCGTCTCCTGGAAGCATGTGCGGGCACCATCCACGTCACCATGGACTGCGTCGGGATCACTGCCACCATGCGCACTGCGCTGCATGCGACATCAGCAGGCGGGCGTGTGGTGCTCATCGGCATGGGGGAAACCGCGCCGGAAATGTCCCTCCCGATCCCATCCGCCGTGGGCGTGGCGCTTCGAGAGGTGGACATTGTCGGGGTGTTCAGGTACTGCCACACGTACGATGTATGTGTTTCGTTACGGCGCGACAAGCGCGTGAATGTGAAGCCGCTTATAACGCATCGGTATGGGTTCTCTCAAGAGGATGTGGAGGCGGCGTTTAGGGTGAGTGCCAGGGGAGGGAAGGCTGTGAAGGTCATGTTCAAACTGTAGTGTGGCTTCCCGGTATAAGTTTGTAGAAGATCCTACTGTTTAGGGTGTGTGGTGTCGTTTTATTGTTTGCTAGATACGTACTCCTGTACAGTATATCTTCTTGCAAGGTGAAGACTGTCTGTGTATGAATGCCGCTATCACTTCCAAGTTCCGTAAACCCCCGGATGTATGACCCTAGTGTCTTGAATCATACGTTGGATTTAGGGGGTGGGTCTTGAATGAGGAGTTGCAAACAAGTTACCCAGGACTTATGTTGTACGCCTATGGAATGGAAGTGTAAATCAGCGTCCCAGTATCAAACCAATCCACTAGCCTCAACTTTGAGCTCTTTCGGCTGTGGTGCGTGGTAGTTTAGACGCATACACGTGGAGATTCGGCATCTGCCAACATGTCTCCATCAGCCGAAATTCAGCCAATCGAAGAACGTTTCGGTGGCACAGCTACCAGCAGGGCGGGGAATATTCGTGCACCTGCATTGCTGTCGCAGGCAGGTGGGTGCTGTCAAGATGCCTCGTGAGCTTGACAGGTGCCGACGGCATGGATGCCCTGTTATGAGCATCGACGGTTCTGGAACATGCTGCGTGATCCACCAGGGCGACGCGCTATGCAGCACTCCACGACTGACGCTTTGGCGAGGTTTGCTTTAGCGTCTTCAAGGCAGGCTTCATTGGGGTGACTTCGTTGTTGTCACGTTCGGTTTCCTCTCCAGCTCTCACGGCCTTACTGCTTTATCGTTTACCGTGCTCCAGCTCGCGCATTGTTCGTTCCTGCTCGACATCTGTATCTCACTCCCAATCGCCATACCGACTGCTCAAAGAATCTGCTTAAATGGCTTTCCGACGATGGGATCCAGGTGTGCTCTAGCAAGTAAGTACAGGTTGCCAGCTGCAGCTAATTCCCGTCATGCCTCCAACCACTAGGAGTGGTCTTGCCGCCATAATCAAAGGTCGCACTGGCACGAGCCGTACGCTAGATCGATGGTTGTCTGTTCCTCCCGCTCCGCCAGCCCCACCCGCGCATCCTGCCCCTCCCGCGCCGCCGGCGTCTCCTGCTCCTCCCGCCCCTCCTAGCCAGTGTGTGCTTCCTCTCGGTCTCCGATACCGTACCGACCTGTTTCCTGAACCGCGCGCCAATTTCGACGGCGTGTTCGAGGAGGAGGCTATCCATGCTGACGATGCCGACGACGTCCACTTCGTCGACGGCACGGCAGGCGACGACTAGGCAGATGACGCCGACGACGTCAACGACGTCGACGACGAGGACCATGATGCTTCCCCTCCTTCTCCCCACTCCCGTCCAACGAAAGGTTTGCGGCGTTCCCGCACGGTGAAGGAGAAAGTTTGCTGGCTGCAGTACATGGACGCCAGCAACCTCTCCGTCCATGCTACCGCCAAGAAGGCGGGTGTCCAGCCCATCAGCATTCGCTGCTGGGTGAAGGACCTGTCGGAAGCGGCTCCACGGCGCGGGCCGCCGCTCACTGTACCCAGAGATGGAAATCTGGGTTTACAGGAAGCTTCTCCACCATCGCCAACGTGGCCTCCCTGTTTCCATCAACCTTCTCCGCCAATGCAGCCTCGGGTACATGGCTAAGAACCACCCTGATGTCGAGTGGAAAGCCTCTTTGTGCTGGACGCAGCGGATGCGCACACGGTGGGGGCTGAGTGTTCGCGTGACGACCAAAATTGGTCAGCTCTTGGCGGTCGGTAGGTGGTTGTATGCTTGGTGTCTTGTGCATGTCAACATTCTCTGACTTTCCTCGCTGTTGACACTATGAATCTGCGTATCACGCTTGCATCACAAATACCGGGCTATGCTCGATGGACATGGGTTAATGCTAGTCCCTTTCCCCTTCCTATTCCGCATTGAGTCCTCTGGCCCTCTGCTTGGCAGACATCAAGCCCAAGGCGCAGAGCTTTTGGCGTTTGTGTTGCCGCCAGGTCTTCAACAAGGCCATCCCAAACAACCTCATCATCAACGCCGACCAAACGGCGCTCTTACTCGAGATGCCGCATGAACGCACCGTCGAGCACAAGGGCATTCAGACGGTGCATGTGCGGACTGCGGGATACGAGAAGGAGAGAGTCGCCGTCATGCTCGCATGCACTGCCGCCGGTGTCAAGCTCCTTGCTTATGTGGTTTTCAAGCGTGTGCGGCCGCCTAAGGTGCGAGTGCCTCCAAGTGAGTGACAGCAATGCATTGCCAACCCGTCAGTTTTCCTCCGACTTGCTTACTGTGGGCACTGTCGGCTTGTAAATCAGCATTCTGGTTTCATGATCGGCATCTGACCATGCGCATTTGCTTGTCGCTGTTTGTGTTCACAAACATCATCATCCACGCCCAACCCAAGGGGTGGATGGAAGAGGGGCTCATCAAGGATTGGATTACGCGAGTCCTGGCACCCCACGTCGCCCCTCAGCCAGGCAGGCCGCGCCCCACTAGCCTCGTGGTCGTTGATTCCTACTGTGGACACCTGACGGACGGCGTGAAGCAGGCGATGCGGCTCTTAAAAATGACTCCCGCCATCATCTCAGCTGGCTGCACCTCCGTGTTGCAGCCTCTCGGCGTTTCCGTGTTCTGGTAAGGATCGTGTTGTTGCACAGTCTCTGCCCTAATTATGCAATCCATGCTTCGGAATACATACTAATTTTGTGCGCTCCCTTACTGCGCAGGTTACCTCAAGAAGCCCCCGCTTGAAGAAGTGTTGCGCTGGGTCGGCAAGTGCTGGGCAGCGGTCCCAATGGCAGCGGTCCAGAAAGCATTCAAGGTGACGGGCATCTCCTGTGCCCTTGACGGGAGCGAAGACCACCTGATCTTGCGCCATCTGAAGACCTTGGCGTCGGCCGAGGTGGATGTGACTGACGACGTTGGCCCTGTGGGGACCGAGGGCGATGAATCCTTCTCCGCGAACGTCTTGGAGGAGGCAGAGGATGGAGAGCTGGCTGCGGAGGATGAGGAGGAGGAGGAGGAGGAGGAGGAGGAGGAGGAGGAGGAGGAGGAGGAGGAGGAGGAGGAGGAGGAGGAGGAGGAGGAGGAGGAGGAGGAGGAGGAGGGGGAGGAGGAGGCTGCGGAGGTGGAGGCGGTTGAGGAGGAGTACATGGCGCAAGAGGTGGCGCTGGATGACGAGGAGGAGCTGGATGAAGAGGACTTCGACGACATCGATGCGTCCGTTGCAGCGGTGCTGTGCGGCATCAACCCCATGCCTGCCAGGGGTGAGCAGAGCACGCGCCAGAGGCACTTGAACCGTTGCCCCGTATGACAGCCGCTCAGCACCTGAACGCCACAGTCGAAGACTTTGGCGACTCCACAGAAGAAGATGATAATAGTGAGGATGAGGATGGTGGGAAATATCGCAACAGCAAGTACGATGTCTTATGGAACATGCTGTAATGTTTTCTGCTAGGATGTGTGAAGGCATGCTCTAGTTTGCTGTAGCTGACAGGTTGCGTTCGAATTCTGATTGGTATCATGTTGTGTCATGTGCATCTAATGTTTTAACGTAGCTAATTGATGTGATAGTAGTTAATATAGTGGAAAAAACGAGTCAGGGGGTCTTATGCCATCTACACCATCAAGGGGGGGGTGCACTCAGTCACACCACTGAGTTTAAGACCCCACTGCCAAAAAGACCCATTGGGGCTTTAATTAAGCAAGTCTTATATCCGGGGGTATAAGTATGTGCATGGTACCGTGTGCAGTGCAAATTTGTGGTGCAGACTTGGATGCTGTTGGGCTGAGATACAGTACGCCCGTAGGATCTTTGCAATGACCAAGTCCCCAGAGAGATGTTGTACTTGTGGAAGCGTGGTATGAGACTTAATCAACCTCTTGCACTGGTATGTGAGAACAAGAGAATTGATTAACACAAACAGCATATAGGAATATTTATAGTTATTCTAGAATTCATGACAGTTACTACAGCTGTTGTTGCGCTACCGAGTGTATAGCGACTCGATGCCTTACAGTAGCGGTTACTGTGCAGCTGAGCTGCCATGTAGCCTCCACGCGCAACCTCCAGGTGCAACTGCTACGCGTGCAACTGCAACGCGCTTTCATTACACACGCAACAGCCGCGTGTAACCTCCGTTGAATTGCCGTACTCGTTGCTGACCACTCTGTAGAAGTGAACTACGTATTTAGGGTGGCCAAGATCTAGAGTTGGTGGAACCACGAGTAAAATTCAGTGGAATAATTTACACCTTGTATTGGAAACAGGGCCTCAGAAGTCAGGCCAAAAAGGCCTGAAAGCCTATATATATCGGTGTTTACTAGGGCATACCCTGATTTTTCAGGTTTTGTTTTTTATCAAACCTGAAATTTATGTGTTCCCATGTTCTAAGGCCTGAAAAATAGCATGTTCTTGTTTTACCAAGCCTGACGAATCAGCCTTACTCGAAATTCGCCTTGAAACTGAAGCTTATCTGCCAAGGCAAGCTAGAGCACATGTCAGGGGCGTGACTGGTCCTTGACCAGAATCACGCAAGTTCGAGGCGAGCTGGGGCAGGTGTGAAGGGCGTTACTGGTCCTTGACCAGAATCACGCAAGTCCGAGGCGAGCTGGAGCAGGTGTGAGAGGCGTTATTGGTCATTGACCAGAATCACACAAGTTTGAGGCGAGCTAGAGTAGATGTGAGGGGCGCGATTGGTCCTTGACCAGAAACACGCAAGTTCGAGGTTAGCTGGAGCAGGTGTGACGGGGTTGACTTGTCCTTCGCTAAAATCACCCAGGTAGTCCGAAGAGAATTGTACGCAGTGAAGTCTGATCTGACCTAAGAATCAGAAACTACAAATATGTAGGCCTGATTAGTCAAACTTGAAAAAAAAAAAAAAAAAAAAAAATGCCACGCCCAAAACCCGACCATAAAAAACATGGGTTCTCACATGGGTGACCATGAGCAATCAGCCTCCCTAAAACCAATATGAGGGCCTGGTTGGAAATGTCCAAAATTACATGGATAATAGTAATGAATAATACAGCATATTTATAGTCTAGGAAGTACCTATTCGGATGTAAATGTTCGTAGTGTATCGCGACCATCCGCGTGACATGACTAGTGACTGTTCGTGTGACTGAGAATGGCGTGACCCTTCGGGTGACTATACGTGCAAACCTACTGTTCACGCGTTGACTTGCTACTGCTGACGCCATCACGTGCGTCCTTCCATATGAGGTATCGCGCTATTAGTATAGTCTAAGTGTTATATCAGGAGTGCATAAGTAAACTTTGTCGAGTATACTTCAACACACTCCACAGTATCGCTTAAGTCTTGATACTACAGAAACAAGTTACTTCTCCATTTCTTTTTTTCCAACACTCCCCTTCGGTTCTGGAGTGTCGACGTGGCCGGGACGAGTGACGTGGCGCTGCCCTGTCTGCAGCATGCAGTAGTCGAACTTCGACTTCGCTTTCTGGTCAAGTAATCTGTTGCCATCTCAGATGTGGGGCACTAAGACATCTCGAGTTTCCCCTTCTTGATTTCGTCTTTCACGAAGAAGTAGCGCAGCGCGGTGTGCTTTGTGCGATTGGCAAAACCATTCTTGTTCGCAATTCGAATTACATGTTGGTTGTCGCAGAAGAGGGAGAAATTGGGTAACGCGGCAAGCTTGGCCAGCAGAGGAGAAAGCAATTAGTTCCTACTTGCTCGACTGCCAGGAGATAGGCCCGATGGGCTCTAGGTGGTAGACGTAGCCGGTTCGCGATCGCCTATTGTCGGGGTCGTCGGTGTGATCAGGATCAACGTAGCCGATTAGCTTAGGCGATGCGTTTTTCGTCTTGTGATAAGTTAAGCCGATCGTTGGCGCTGAGACCAAATAGTGGAGCGCGCGATCAAGTTCGGTTAGGTGCTCTGCCTCGGGCCGTTTGAGGTAGGTGGCGAGTTGGCTTGCCGAGTAGGATAGGTCCGGTCGACAGGCTACAGCGGCGAAGAGGAGACAACCCAGTTTCTGCTTGTATTCGCGTAGTTTGGCGGGCGCGAGTACAGTTGAGTCCGTCGTGTGACTCAACGCGGTGTAGCGGTACGGGGTGGATATCGCAACCAGAATGAGGTCGAACCTCTTAGCGATGACGTCGGCGTACTTTGAGGCTCTCAAATAGATCGCCCCGTCTGCGTCCACACGTTCAAGCCGAGGTGCTGGCTCACGGAAGGGGAGAACATGAGTGTGAGGTCCCGCTGTAGCTCCCCTTCAAACCAGGCGGTGATGGCAGCGGTCGAGCCTACGTAAAGCTGGTCGTCTACGCAGATGATCAGCAATACGTATGCGGCTTCTCGTGTGAGCCGGTACATACCTGGTCGTGCGGTAGCTGTAAGAACCCGATGCGGATGAGCCATGCGTGAAGATACTGCTGCTAGAGCCATGGGGCCTGCTTAATCCCGTAAAGGGATTTCACAAGCTGGCAGACGAGCGTGGGGTCTTCAACGAACTTGTGCGGCTGCTCTACGAAAATCTCTGCGTCGACGGGCGCGCACAAGAACGCATTTGCCACGTCGATCTGGAGCAGCGGCAGGGATGCACAGCGACGACTGCGAGCAAGATTTGCAGGGATGTGTGTCGACTGACGGGCGCTAAGCTTTCCGTGAAGTCGTGCCCGTATTGCTAGTCAAAGCCCCGAACGACCCAACGGGCCTTGAAGCGCTCGATCGTGCCATATGCTTTGGTCTTCACTCCGAACACCCATTTTCCTTAGAGGATTGTTTTGTCGCGTGCCTTTGCGATAGGGACCATTTGCCAGGTGTTGCGCTCATGAAGCAACTTCAGCTCCCTTTCCATTTCTTCACGCCATTTCTCCCTGTGCTCTCCCCCCAGAGCCTGCTTAACGGTCGTAGGCTCGAGTGGAGGTGGTATCGAAGCTCCGTGGACGGCGGCGACGAGGCCGAGAATCTGAAGTCTGCTAGGTGTGAAGTTGGGCAAGAGGTGATCCTCAGGATAGACTGCTTTGTCTCCCGCTTCTAGATCAGGTACGAATCTGGGCCCGTTACGCTCGGAAACATTTATGTTGACAGGCTGGGGTGTTACGTGCTGCCACTATTTCCTTGTCGACAAAATGGTAATATGCCTCGGCATTCGCACTCTCGCATGGATCCTTGTCATTCATGGAGATAGGAACAGAGCAGTACGTGAGAGGTCCGGCAGCTTCCGAAGCTCCGTCAACGTTCTGCTCATCCCACTCAATTTCTTCTGCTGACGTGGCGAAGGCTGAGCTGCCGTTGAATCCACCAGTTGGGTCCCGGTCGGCTGCGATGTTGTCCAGGTAAAGCTGTACGGTGAGTCGTTCGTAGAAAATCACATCACGTGCTGCCACTATTTCCTTGTCGTGCACATCGAAGATCTTCCATGCGTTGTAATTCTTTTCAATGCTGAGGTGCAATCCCCCACTTGGCGCGCTGTGAGAATCGTCCGGCGCATGCAGTATGGGGCCTGAACTGTACCATGCACCCGAAAACTTGCAGTAATTTTGTGCTGCCCAGTTTTCCTGTCCACATAAGGTGTGGTGATACATTGTTTGGCAGGGACGTCAACAGGTTATGGAGCATGACGGCGTGGTCCATCGCCTCCAACCACTGCGAGTTGGGTAGGCGCATGCCTCGGAGCAGCTTTCTCATCATCGTCTGCAGTGTCCTGTTCATTCGTTCTGCTACACCTTGCTGTTGGTTAGCATAGGGGAGCGAGATGAGTCTCTTGATTCCCCGCTCCGCCAGGTACTGCTTGAAGCGGTGTGACTGGTATTCCATCGCCCCGTCTTTTTGAAAGCTCTTGAGCTTCACCCCCGATTATCTCTCTGCTACCGGGAGCCAAGCTGCGAAGGCGTCAAGAGCTTGGTCGCGGGTCGGTAGGTTGAAGTGCCAGACGTAACGAGTCGCTGCATCCCTGTCGACGATGCCGCGATCGGGAACGAAGTCCAGGACAAAGACGCTGTTCTTCATTACGGCCTTCAAAATGTAGAGGTCGCCCTTCCCATGGTACAACTTGAACTCTTGGGTAGTGCTGCCACACTCCAGGTGAATCCCCTTCGCCATCAAGTGACTGATGCTCAGTAAGTTGTAGCCCAAGCCTTCCGCGATTAGTACTTTCGACATTCGTAGCACCACGTTAGTTTCCAGGGATTGTAGCTGAACAACTCCTTGTCTTCGTGTGTGCAGGTGCTGATTGTTGGCGACAGTGATGACGACTTCGCGGCTGAGTTGTCGCTCACTTTGAACGAAGCGATCTGAAGAGCACATGTGCTGCCCGCAGCAACTGTCCAAGAACCACATATCTCGACCGGACGGCTCGCTTTGAGCGATGGCGGCATAAGTTGGGTTCGGTTCCAGCTGCTCTCGTCAAGGCGGCACGACTACTTCGTCTGGGTCAGAAGTCGGTGGAGATTCTGAAACGCAAGAGTTGGTTCTTGCCATGTAGTTGACGATGTTCCTTGTCTGTTGTGCAGGTCGTAGTGTAGAGGGCGGCGGGTGCACTTGGGTTGAAGTGACTTGATTTCCCGAAGGGCGAAGCTGGTGCGGTGAGACCTGCTACTGGTGGAGGGCAGTTAACACGCGTGTGTCCTGACGTGCGGAAGAGGTGACAGAACGGCGGTACGTAGCATCTTGCTTGTGATCCTTGTCGACGATGCTGCATAGAACGCAATCTCAGGTACTGCTTTTTTCTTGTGCCGCTCTTCATACAGGTCCATGTCCTGTTGTTCAGCGTGAAGTTCAGTGCAGAGATGCATCTCCAAGATGCGACTGTGAGGGCGAAGAAGGGAGTGGGTCGCTCACCACTGAGGACCGAGACTGGCGAGGACGATGGTGACAAACGTATCTTTCCGACATGCTGCCGCCGCTGCGAATGAGCTTATCGCGGAGACTGCGGCAGCGACTCATATACGCCATGGCTTTCTCACTGTGCTGCATCTGAACGGTTGTCAATTGGGCCATGAGGTAGCTCTGGTTTATGCTATCATTCGCTTGATACAAGCTCTTCAAGTGGTTGTACTCGAGTTCCGCTGAGTTTCCGTAGCCATGATAAGTTCTGATGTCCTGTTGCTCTGTTGGTTACAGGTTCCGCAGGGGAATGGTGTACACCATCAGCGACTGATACGTGTACTGCTCCTTGTCGCTTGTAGTACCATTGACTGGAATTGGCAGGTTGCCGTCGAAGAATCCCAAGATCTGAGCTCTTTTCATCATGATCTCGAATTTGAAGGACCAGTTATAGAAGTCCTTGTCGTTAAACGGGAATGATGTTTGCAGCTTGCAAACTGAGCTTGTAGCTGAAGTGCATCGTTCGCTATCGTGCTGTGTGCAGGTGTCGATGCCGGAAGGCGATTCGGTATAAACGTGAAGGATACCCGTGAAGCTTGATAAGGTGCGTAGATGGGTTGCTATTTCCCGCGCGCAAAGGATGAGCCGTCCAGGTTCATAGGAGCCACTCCAGTGTTGATGCCTCTAACGTTGTTGTTGTTGTTGTTGTTGTTGTTGTTGTTGTTGTTGTTGTTGTTGTTGTTGTTGTTGTTGTTGTTGTTGTTGTTGTTGTTGTTGTTGTTGTTGTTGTTGTTGTTGTTGTTGTTGTTGTTGTTGTTGTTGTTGTTGTTGTTGTTGTTGTTGTTGTTGTTGTTGTTGTTGTTGTTGTTGTTGTTGTTGTTGCTGCTGCTGTTGACTGACTGCACAGGTGCTGATGGTTGCTGCTACTCGTATGTCGTCATGGAGAAGAAACGCTCCATCAAACTTGGGTCGAAGCTGGTCGGAGGGGCCACTTGCTCAGTAGGTGCTCCCGGGGTTGTTTCTTGCGTAGGCGCCTCTTCAGTCTGTAGGCCAGAGACTGGGGGCATAGTAGGTGTTGAGACTGGAGGTCAAGTGGAGGATCATACTTCCTTTTGTGATGCCCTATCTTGTAATCCTGAAGTGGGCTTACTGTATGTGGAGATTGATTGATGGACTTGTAGAAGAACTGAGAATGCTTGTAACGAACTTAGTTGGAACCTAGTATTCGACAAGCTCTCATACCATGTTGGGCTGAGATAAGCCCGTAGGATCTTTGCAAAGACTAAGTCCCCAAAGAGATGTTGTGCTTGTGGAAACGTGGTGTGAGACTTAACGAACCTCTTGCACTGGTATGTGAGAACAAGAGAATTGATGAACATAAACAACATACAGGAATATATATAGTTATTCTAGAATACAGGACAGTTACTATAGCAGCTGTAGCGCTACCGAGCATATAGCGACTTGATGCCTGTAAGTAGCGGTTTTTGTGCAGCTGAGACTCTGAATCACGCAATGAACTAGATTGAGTGATACAGGGTGGTTTTGTCCTAAGGAGTTGTACTCTCTATAAGCATACACCTGTCTAGCCTATAACATATACAAATATATGTTGACACACCCCCTAGGCTAGACAAGGGGCAACGACTAGCAAGAGACATGCAGCTCAGGGTGGCACTACTAGTCCAACCTCTGGGGCAAGGGTCTGAAGACCAGTCAGCAAGAGTACAAAGGAAACAAGAGTAACCCAACGGCACTACTAGTCTAGCCACTGGAACAGGAGCCACAAGGCCAGTCCAGGTAATATAAGACATAGTACACAATACAGGTCCTAGCAAATGAGAAGCTACAAGAACTAGACCAAGTTGTACACAGTGCCGCTGATGATCTTTAGGCGCAAGCGCCTTTGTAAAAAAACCAGCTGTGTTGGCACCGGAGGCCAAGTGAACTACATGGGCCTGGCTGCGCTGCTGTAGCTAGCGCAGAAGGAAGTACCGCAGCTGGATCTGCTTCGCTCTGCCCTCTAGTCTTGGCTCCTGACATAGGAGGATCATGGCCCTGTTGTCAGTGTACAAGACCGGGGCAGAGCTAGGCCACTCACCTAAGTCTGTGAGCAAGAAAGTCAGCCAGCGGAGCTCCTGTGCCGCGATGGTACCTGTCACTGGATCGAATGAGGTTTGCTCAATGTTGCACTATCAATGAGTACAATGTGTTTTTATACTTCCATAGTACATCAAGTAACCATGTTTATCCTATCCAAAGGGAATAGACCCTTCTAGAAATAGAATCACCCTGCGTATAGCCATGCGAGGCTATTGGCTTTAAGGGATTACGGCATGATTACGCTAGATATAGCGCGCCAGTACATCCCGAGCCTGGTGGGTAATATAATTAGAAAAACAGGATATACCATAGGATAATGGAAAATGAGGAATAGGAAACCAAATGAGATGAGATAAAGACCAAATGAATCAAGATAATAAGAGGAATGAAATAGAAAAGAAATATGGAAAGGGGAAATTGGTGTAACGGGGTCGTACTCTCACAGTTCCCCCCCTCAAAGCTGGGTGGTAGAAGTAACACCCGGCTTGACAAGGTTGTCGCGAAGAGGACGACGGGCGTTACCCATGTCGAATTCAGAGACACAGCCTCAGAAGTATCATAACCCTTCCAACAAAGATGAAGCTCCAGAGTGCCATTCTGACAATGACGGTGTCCGAGCACGTAGTTATCTCATGGCGTGGATGAACACAGGCGACGACGGTGGTTGGCATTCGGTATAGAGCGTGTTTGGTCATGATAGGGTCTAAAAAGCTGGTATGGAAGGCGTTATGGATCTTCCAAGTGGCTCGTTGGCGGAAGCGGAAGGTGACCTATGCTTCAACAAGGATAGACCTGCAGAGGCAAGGTTAAAGCTTAGATGGAAGATGGTTGATGTCGAGATTACGGTGTGGATAACTGTAGTGATGAGCGGCCAAGTGCTTCTATTGTTGTTGGATGTTCAAAAGGCGCTTGTGTGGCCGATCTTCGAGATCGTGGACGATGGCGATGAAATCGTAAGCCAGCTGGACTGTAGCAAGAACTGTCTGTTGCTACGGAGTGAGCAGGGTCCGTCCACAGCAAGGAAGGATGGTGTGTATCGCCGTCAGTGATATATGGGTAGGTGCAAGTCGTAGTTGGAGATCTGAGTGGTTGGAATAGTGTGCTATAACGTGCAGATGAATGGTTATATTGTCTATTCTGTGCATGCTGTTACCCGCATCTGGTCCACGTGTGAAGATCACGAAGTGTTGGTGGTATGGTAGTCGTGTCATAGTACTGCTTCTGTAGCAGTGTTGTATCCGTTATATGCAGCTTCTGTCGAATGCTGGTCCATGCCTTAGTGTTGTCGCAAGTCGTACCCTCTCTACATCGTAGTGCTGCGGGATGGAGAGCAGAACCACTAGTAGTAACCCTGTCCACCACGCGGTCTGCTATTCACACTGCCTTGAGTACATGCAGAGTGCTGCTCAGCGTATCCCTTGTCTTCAAAACCATGCGAGGGGTTGGTACCACAAACGCAGAGCTGGTAACTTCCAAAATCGATGCCAAAGTAGTTTCCCTCGGTGGTTTCTCAAGCAAGGAATCTCAACAGTGTAGATATCCCACAGTGATGGGTTAGGACACTTGGGAATATTAGGGGTATTCCCAAATAATCCTCTCCCGTTTCCACATGAGCATTGCTGACAGCCAATCCAGTATGACCTTATGCACGTCCAGTTTAGCACGGAGGCCATTGGTAGGCATCGGTGTCTGGGTGCACATATTGGGATAGGTCTTCTGGTGCCATCATGTGTTGTCTCATTCTGTCACTGTCCTTGAAGTAGCATTGGTGTCGAAGACGTCTCAGCTACTCAGCATCAATGTTGAAGTCTGCTCCATTTTGGCAAATAGGGGTGTTGTTGGAGATACGCGAAGTCCACTATCCAGAGTGGCGTCGGCGCTCCATTCCACGCCTATCTGCTTCCGTGGAGTTGGTGCTGGTGATGGATTGGTTGCGACGCGGGTTTTATGACTTTATGGAAAGCCATAAACCATGAGGACTTGTATACCGGTAGAGTACCGTTGTCCTCCCATCCTCATAAGAGCAAATACCTTCTGCTCTTGAGGATATATGGCATTGCCATGTTGTTCCCTCGCATAGTGGTATCTCCTTCCCACAAGTTGGAAATCAATATTGTGCCTGACCAGGACTTTACGATCATACTGGAATAAAATCCAGCGTTATCTCCATTGAGCGGAGAATCATCCATCAGGGTTTGGATATGATTGTTGTGTTAAGTCTTCTGTTGCGACGGCGGCAACGGTAGCGGCGATGGCGACGGTGGCAGCTGCTGCAGAGAATTCTCTCAACTCGTAGTGGTTGAGGGAGAATCCATCAACTCCCTCTTCCCACTAGAATGTTCCTGATGGGTGTAACAGACGTAACTACCAGGAACACGTGCATTTTGGTACACATGTGTTGCTCCATTGCTGCCGGTGATTGTTTCATTTGAGGGAATGAAGATGAATTTTGCTTCTCCCCTCAATGTATCCACGGGTAGCACTTCCTGGTATGCTCATCCATACCTCCGATGTACGGTCGGTAGAGCGCGTGATCGTGTTATAGTACTTCGCATCTCCCTCATTTGTTGACACCTCGTGTTGCTTGGCGTTCTCCTGCATCGTCGAAGTTACGCTGGTGCTTGTAACGCTTCAGCTTTTGATAGAATCACCTCCAATGCATGTGCCGTAGGGTCGCTAGTGAACGAGTACTTGCCAGATTTGAGGTTAATTACTCCCCAATCTGTCTAGCATCGTGACATGCGCGCAGAATTTTCCACGCATGTCATTAATACCTGGAATCGCGACGCATGATTGGTGTGTCGCCTCGTGAGGTTGATGTTGAGACTACTCCAATCAATCACTTCGGATGGCTGAGATTCTTGATGACGACGAATCGATCAGCTCCTGTTACGAATTAGTGTCTCGCTGGTCTTGACGAGACGGGTTTACTGCGTCGTCGTTGCGTGCGAAATCTGCTCCTTCGCAGCAACTAGAGCTTGTGAGCATTGCAAGAGAAAACGGCTACTTCTCTGCAATCCTGTAGGTTGTCGAACAATTTATGAGATGAAGTGTCTCATGGGTGGAGAACATGTCTTCACACAGCTCCATTTTTTTTCCTGGGTGAAGATATCGCAGTGTTGATGTCGATCCATTTTTAATGAATATGACTTCGTCAAAATAAATCGATCGTTGTCGACACTAGTCAGAAGATGCGTCGATTGTGCAGTCGCTGGTCATGAATGTTGTCTCCATAATGATGATTTTCCATAGTGTGGTCTATGCCGCATTCGTACCATTGCTTCCGCAACGATCCGACGATCCACGTTCTCCTGTCAGTTTTCTGCTTGCAGCTATTACCAAGTAGGTAATACTCTGGCAGATTTCTGACTTTGCAGGTGATTTTCGCGCCAAATTCGTCACCAATTTAAGGAATTCGAATTTGGTTGTCCAGATTATGTTAGCGGTGTCGAAAGCGGCTGATTCCTGGTTTTGCGCGTCATTCTCCCTTTGTGCCGAAGTCACGCTCCATCTCGTCCGTTGAAGCAGAAAACGATCCGACGGTCCAAACTCCAAGCGATCTGAAGGGATTTCTGAGTCACGTTCAGCAGCTTTCGGTGCTCGGGTTGACTCGTTTCCTGCAGCGATTCTCGGTCGTCGGTGTCGGCTGTCGAATGATCGGACGCTCCAAAGAATTTCGCGGCTTTCGAGGTCCCGTTCCCAATCGAGTTGTAACTCGAATTCGCTCATTATGATCTCATTTCGCCTCGGTCGATCTGAAGCGTCGAATCTCCATCGGACGGATGTCGTCGGTCGCAGACTCCAAGAGTCGTGGCTAACTGCGAACTTCTCAGAATGTCGCAGGGAGTGTTCCCCCCAGAACTGACGCGTTCGCGAGGTCGAGGCTGTTTGCCCCCGCGAAAAAATCGGCTCCGTCGATAAAGCCCATCGAACGGTGGGCGAGGCATCTCGCCTTCGAAGGGGACCCCAGGTGCAACTGCGTGAGGTTAGTCAAAACTTAGAAAGAAACTGCATTGCACTTACAGGAATAGAAGTTCCGACTCCATCCTCGGCGTGCTCCTAGGGGTCTAGCGGTTAAGTGTTGAGCTGAAACCTTGGCTCTGATTACCAAGTGTCACTGGATCGAATAAGGTTTGCTCAATGTTGCACTA